GCCAACCATGGAGGAAAGCCTGCTCATTTAGGGCTTGTACCGCTCTCTGTTCGTTTAGCATTGTATATCCTCCTGAGGTTGACGGGGCGAAGAAAGAATGGGTGACATCGTTAACTTCGTCGAAGTCGAGGTCTTGAGTGTACGGGGTAAGATCTTCCTCGCTCTTAGACGACTCGATTGCGTTCGTTGGATGGTCCTCGTAGACCACCAGGAATTGGTTGAATCGATCATGGCCCGTCTTGCCTTGTGTGCCCTTTGCCTTTCTGTATTGGTCGTACGACTTGGCGCGTTCCTCATCAGAGTGGTTGCTTGACCAACAACCCTCCTTTTTGCATATAAAGCACTTCCCTTTCCGCGGTGCTCGGTTGGTGTTGGACCAGCGCCCCCCTGAGGAGTCTGTTCCTCCCCCCTGGCGGTTGCCATACCTTGCCTCTCTTCCTTTGCCATTGTACGTGCGGTCCACCCAGTGCTGTTGGTGAGGGCCTTCGTGAGATTGGAGGTGAGTCTGATTTGGTATCCTGGCTTCGATGTTGAAGCTGGACCTTAGCCTCGAGCACAGCGTCTCGTAGTCCTTAGGCGGTTGATGTAGAGTCATCTTTGCCTCTGGTACCCTCTGTACCGCCGTACATAGATAACCGACCTTTCGCTCATTGGTCCCCTCATTTGGCTGCGTCCTCGCCAGTTTGTCGATCCTGTCGATGAGCTCCTCGAGGATCTCAATTCTCGACTTTCCTTCTATTGTTCTGGCTATAGAGCTAAATGACAATGCCCTCAGCTCCGAGAGGAGCTCGAGGCTCCTATCTTGGGTCTCGAATCGACTTCGGATTGTGTCAACGATGCTGAGAAAGTCGGTTCGATCGATATTACGCACCGCTTGATAGTAGTACTCGGCAGCTTTCCCTGTCAGTATGATATTGACTACCGAATGATATTGGTGTTCTCGGATGCCGACTTTTTCGCAGTAGTCGTAGAATATCGTGAGGGTTTCTTGCAGGACCTCATATCTCCCCCCTGAGTATAATTTCTCTTTTGGAAAGATCTTCTTTAGGTCAGTGAACTGTCTTGTGCTGGCTACCGCTGGATCGTTCTCTTTGCGTGCTTCTTGTGCGGTAGCGTAATTGGGTGGTGTCTGCATTGTCGACCTCGTACTTTGTTGGGTGCTTGGGATCAATCCTTGGATTGGTATTGTTGTTGGGGTCGTCACCGCGATGGGCGGAATCGTTGTCTGATGCGCCTCCGGTGTGATCCCCCTTGTCTGCGCTAGATTGGGCGCCGCGATGTTACCGTTGGTGATCTTTAGCAGAAAGTCCGGTTGGTTCATTTGTCTGCTGAATTCTTCGTACTTTGACATTGCTCTGTCGATCTGATTCTGGTCCTATGGCGTGAAGTCCTCTGCGGCTACTGTCGTTGCGAGTGTCTTGTGGGCCTTTCGCCTTGCCCCTTGGGCTGGTAGAACGCCTCGGCAGTGGAGGAATCTGTTTACCTCCTTGACGATACCGGGATTAGCGCTGGCGAACTATTTATCTTTCTAGTCGCCTAGGTCGTCTACGACTCTGTAGAACAGGGGTTGCCCTTCGAGCCCCTTGCGGGCGTACATCTCCATAATGAAGACTAACGCCGCATTAATTTGCTCGCCATTGGGGTGGTCTGAGTCTCGATATGACCATTTCCCCCAGTACTCCGGATTAATCTCAACCTAATCTTCTGGGATGGGAGTCCTTCCGTGCGTTCTGCGTGCTGACTCGCCCCTTGTCGTCCCTTGGCTTGTGCTTCTGTTTGTAGGGGCCGGCGTGTTTGATCTTGATGGGGATGTGTCAGATCCGCTTGTTGGTCGTGGTAGCAGCGTACTGTCGTTGCTCGCCGTGTTTGTCGGGGTCTGGGAGCTTCCTGCGGCCTCCAACCTCCTTGCGGCGAGCCTCGTCACCATCTGCTCTTGGTCTTCTGAATTGGCCGCTATGTTTCTTGTTGACGGTTTTCTCTTCCTGTGGCGTACCCTATCGTATAAGAGAGGTCTTCCGGTGGCCCTTTCTTCGTGTTCTCTCCTCAGACGTCTTTTTGGCTTTCTCCCGTGCCAACTGGGGTAATAGGCTCTTTCTTTGCCTTCGTAGCTCGGCGAGGATGTGTAGTCTGAAGAATTGAGTACCTCATACCCCTTTACGGGGTGAGCGTTGTGATGCTTCTGAATCCCTTCCTTCCTCGTCTTAACTCCGCCTGGCTCTTATTCTTTCGGAATAGCCGAGGGGTGGTGGGTGTAGGTGAGAAGGGGAAGCTTGACCTTGGAATCTCGAAGTCGGTCTTGATGATGGCGATATCGCCGTCGATCCCGGTAGCCTCCTCGGATTCGACTAAGAAATACGCCTGGAGCTACCGGCGGGGTCTGGTTCCTACCTGAACACCCTATTGCCTTGAAAGTTTGTTTCTGTGGTCCTGAGGTGCCTTTTTATATCCTCTAATTGGGCCTGTTTCGTCGTATGGTCGAGATCTGCGGTGGATTTGCTAATCTGGCGAATCTGGTGATTTCGCTTGTTTTCCTCTGTTGGCGTACGGGCCGCCCGTGGATTGTTGAGTAGGACAAATCGCGTGAGGGCGACGTAGGTAGCTTGGTCGCCTTCTCGCGATTCCTTTAATTGCGGTTTGTTTTTGACGTGATGGACGTCGACCTTTCGTGGGCAGTCAAGGGCTGCGATTCCTCTACTTCGTTCCGTCGTAGAGATTCGCGTCTTGTCGCCTGCTTTCCGTCGGGTAGGTAGCACGATTCTCCTGTCGCGTTCCGTTCGAGGAGGTCGTCTCTTCTGCTTGCGAGATGCCTTGCTGATCTGCGATAGTGGGATTTAACCACTGATCAGTGTTGGTATTCCTATCACAGGGATGGTTCGAACCGTGGGTGACGAAGAGGTCAAAATCTATATATATTTAACTTCTGCGTAAGGTGTAAAAAGGAGGTTCTAACCGGAGGTTGGGTAGACCGTAGATCTCGTAAGTATGGTCTGTAAGTGGCCCCTGCGCGGGCCCCTTGCCTCGAGGTCGAATTGGACTTCCAATCCGACAGTACTGTTGTTATGACCTTGCTCCACCTCATCAACCACAGCCCACGTGTTACACAGTAATCAACAAGCATGTGTATCAAGCAAACAGTATTTCACTAGCGCCGTTCATTGAACTGAAAGCGAAGCACTTCTTCCATTAACCGAAAGTGAAAGCAGCGTTTACACTGGAACTTGATCTATGCAGTGGGAGAAAAAAAGCCTGGTCCAAGTCTCAAGGCCTCCTTGGGCAGGACTTGTCTTTCAACCGTCGACTCGGTACCGCCTGACGTCCCGGATACCCCCCGTATAAGCAAGCTAAAAGTCAGAGATTTGTACCTGACTACGTGATTTTGGTATAAATGAAAACGTGTTTCGCTGTATTATGTCAATAGCCCCTTTCGACCTTTCCGCCAATGTCAACAGGCCAAGCCTTCACAACGATGTCCTTATCGCTCAGCGATCGATCCCAGCTGCAGCATGGCAATACCACACCAACTGAACAAAACGCTTTGGACGGGTTTTGAGAATCGATCAAATTTTTTTCGGTTGACTAAAGAGGCGATCTCATCCAAATAGCATCCATCTCATCATCGAACCACTCACAGGATGTTTCATCAACGACCCAGGTAAATGACATCGTCCTCAGAACCAGAATCTACATGTTCTGCTCATTTCCTGTAGTCCTTGATTCAACCACAATGTGTCGGATTTGGCTTTTGCCAGGTGTGTGGAGACAAAGTCCGCATGGTTAAAAGCATGAGGTTTGGTAAGGAAGCTTAAAGCCGGTAGCCATGGCCACGCCGTCGAGGCCTACGTCGCTCGTGGCCACAGCCGCGCGTCTATATCTCGAAAGATCTCAAGATAAGAATCGGAATGACACGACTTTTCCCTAGTATATATGTCATAGCCGCGTGTGCTGTTACTTTATATAGCTTCGATGGAGACGATGACGCAGAATCCCGACCTTGGGGGGTTCTTGCGGAATTGAATATCTGAGAGTCAGATAATGGTGAAAGTTCACTTGTCATGGAATGACGCCGAGAGCATTCATCTCAATTCCACCAGGAGTGACTGTGACATAAGGTAAGGTAAGTAGAAATATGACGTGCTGAGGCTTTGTTGCTAGTCAGCAGCAAGAAGCAGGAGGGGGCAGCCACACAAATATGGTTAGCGCCAACGGTCCATATGCACTCTGCTTATGGTTTCAGCCCTGTATCCGGATGCACCTTGCTTATGACTTTTTAGTCAAGGAAGCTGCCACTTACGCCCTTTCCACCGTACTTTAGCCAGTTTCACACATTTCAGACCTTGAGACTGTCATTACCTACCTATCTGAACTAATACTATTGTATGCATTCTGCTTATGGTTTTCGATACACTCTGCTTAAATCCGAGCCTTGCTTTTGCCCGCGGTCTTAACATAGTTCCGCTCGGATCCATGGTTACCCCTAGGTGCTTGGTGGATACGGAGACCGGAAATTCTTGGCTCAACAGCCAAGTTCGACAATTTGTATAGAGTACATCTCTTTATGTGCTCGCTCAAAGAAGGAGGCAGCAAGAAAAGTTCCCCAATGGTGCTGATGATCCTCCATGCCCTGAGACATGAGAATCAGTATCGGTCTCGGTCTCGAAGACATCAAATTGTGACGTCAATCCAGTCTGGATCAGCGTAAGCAAGAACGTCAGCAATTTTGTCGGACTTAGAAAAAAAAGAATGCAAGATTTGGCTGCAATTCGGAATTAAGTTGATCTTCAGATTTTGATGCAAGTCACACTCAAGTTAGCTTGCTTCACCCAGACGCATGATGTATCCACAAGTGAGATTTGTTGTACTGAGTGAGGGACATTTGCTTGTTGGATCTTCTTTGTGATAAAGCTCTCGTCTATCCGCCAGTCAAACCAAGCCAAAGACAGAAACTATAAATTCCATCCGGTTCTCACCCAAGCATTGGTCCCCATCATCTTAATTACCATCATTATTACACACAAACTCAACTCTTCAGTGCCTCATCACAGCCTCAAAAACACCATTGTCCACGAACATGTCTACCCCAGCCAAAGTTACCTTCACCTCTCGCGGCTACAAGCTTGCAGGACACTTCTACCCTCCTGTTGTCAACTCTCCCAACCGTTCGGGAGCAGCTGTTGTCATCGCCCACCCGTGGACCTCGATTAAGGAACATTCCCCCGCCCACTACGCTCGCGTCCTCTCCCAGGCCGGCTTCTACTGCCTCGCTTATGACGCGGCCTACCAAGGAGAATCCGAAGGAGAGCCGCGCTATCTCGAAGACCCTGGTCAGAGGGTCGAGGACATCAAGTCGGCCGTCACGTACCTCGTCAGTCGCAATGAAACCGACTCTGGAAAGATTGGCGTTCTAGGCATCTGCGCATCAGGTGGCTACGTCTCCTTTGCCGCTCAGACCGATCTCCGAATCAAGGCCGTCTCCATCTCTGCCGGGGTTTGCTCCGGCACGATGGCGCGTCAGGGCCTCGACAAGGACGGATCCAACCTTGCTGTCCTTCACACTCAGCTGGAGGCCGCGGCCAGAGACCGCAACAGCGACGTTACCGGGGAGAAAGTCGATATTATTCACATGTTGCCTGATGAGTTCGACCCGGCGACCGCCTCTGCCGATATGCCCGAGTCGTTCCGTGACTTGGCTTCGTACTACTGTACGGCCCGGGCCACAGCCGCCCACCCCCGTAACCCCAATATTTGCCTGCCGCGAAGCTGGGACATCATGGGCAACTTTGATGCCTTTGCCTGGAACCAGCTGATCAGCCCGAGGCCGTTTTTGGCCATTACTGGTACTAAAGCTGCCTCCAAGTGGTATAGCGAGGATGCTGTTGCGAAGGCTAAGGAGCCAAAGGAGCTATTCGTTGTTGACGGGCTTACTCATGCCGACTTGTATGACAATGTTGAGGTTGCCGGGGCTAAGCTCAACGAGTTCTTCGGCAAGTATCTAGTCTAGACAGTGCACTTACTTCTAGTGTTGTTTATCACTTCATGTACCTATGTGAACATAACACACTCAAGAATTGTCAATTGATAGTGGCACGTGCGATTAGTTCATAGATGCAATAAAATCGACTCCCACAACCGTGACTGCCTTGATTTAATTGAGGTGCTGCATTTTAAGACAGGTCTTCATTGAACAAGAAGACTTTTAGAATGGGTCTTGCGTTCGAGTCGGGAAAGAGAATGCAGAGTCATCGGTGTATTTGAGTCCACAGTTTGCGACTCTTCCTCCTATGTGATCCCTACTGAAACTCGATCATTGGTCGGTGCCATAGACGATAGACTAATGAGAAGGTGATGAAATCCCAACGCTTTCAAATGCTCAACGCTCTCGTGCCACTATGCAATCATTCTTCGATGCTCCCACCCTAGTATTTCCAGATATTCCCCGACAACCTAAGGTGTGTCGCATGACAATGATCCGCTGCCCAAGTCATTGCAGGAGCCGCTGCGCTTTTGGCCCTATGAAGTTCACACTAATTAGCCAGGGGTCTTTGGGGGAGTACTGAATATGGGTGGAGTCACATACATTGCAGGTTGCTGTACAGGCGTCGCCGCGGTTGTTGCAGGCTGTCTCCGTATAGGTGCAACAGTTGAAGTTGGGGTTGCACGTTTGGGGCTCGGGCAGGGCGGCCGCAAGGGCAGTGCTGGCGAGGGCGACGAGGATAAAGAAACGCATCGTGACGTGTTTAAATGAGAGTTGATACTATTTGGTGAATTGATTGTATAAGTGGTGGAATTGCATGGACCGAATAACATACTAGTTGACAGGACAGACGATACCCCATTTATAGGCTTTCATCGGATTCCGCAAAGGCTATAAATATGCAGTGTATTAAGAGATCCGCACTCCGTTATCAGGATTCAAGAAGAACTCTCTTTGATAGATTGTTAGAGAGATTGAGTCAGTTACCCTGTAGGTGCCCCAATCACTTGGCGGCCCCTATGTGGGATTCAGACATTAATTTACTCGGGACCACTTGAAACAATCAAAACGTCGGTCTCAATATTGGCATATGTAGAAGTGTTCTTGATCTCACGGCCGAGCCGGAGCTGTTCATAATCAAGAACTATGAGGTAGAGACCGGAAAACAATTAGTTTACCTCGAATTAAGCAATGAAGAGCGACCGATGCTGTCTTTGCACATCGGCTCAAGTGGTAAGCACTCGATCAAGTCCCAAAGACTCCAGTCACCAACAGTCTCACATTTCAAGTTGTGCAGCTTTACATTCCAGGGTTGGCTTTTCTATCCAGCAGCAATAATGGCTGCGACTTGACTTGAGGTGAGATATCACGAACGACTTGCCTGGACGGATGCGACAACATTATGCTAATTATATAGGATATTGAGAAACTCTGACATATTTGTCAATAGGTCAATCCAGCAGGTGGCAGGTTACCCGCGGAACCCACGCATACATTATCCCGTGTATTATAACCATCCCCTCGGGACGAGGGTGCCAGCGCTTCATGCCTCCAATCTATGAACACCCTTAAGACAAGTCCCTAGGTACCTTAGGTGCATACCTAATATTCCTAAGCACCTTTGAACTCCTTGATAATTGAGACAGTAAGACGCTTGATTGAGAAATCTCATTCATACCATTTCTTGCATACAATAAAAGACTTGACAACGCATGCCTTTCATGGACTTGGATGAAGGGAAGGAAGATAATTGGCGAGTGCTGACATAATTGCGCAGTGTACAAGGCAGATTTGTCCCTTGGACCCCTATTTAAGGTTTCATCTTTTTTAAGGTCATCACAGGCACGTGGCGGGTCTGATCGGGCGCTTTGGCGAATCGAGAGCGCCAATTAAGCGAGATGAGATGAGCATCTTGTGCCTGGAATCCCTGGGGAAGGATCGGATGGGATGCACTGAGGCTTGGGGTGTGCGCGCCCAACGTTCGCGGTCCGAATTCCCCATCTTCTCTCTTTTCTTTGCAACCCACACACCACCAACATCACACACCATCCGGCGCAAGCTGCAGATCATCGATGACCTCACTCCTTTGAGTCGCATATCGGCCGCATTTGCGGCTGGCCACAATCATTATTGCTACCTTACTCTATACCAAAGTCACTCATTAGTTTGGAAGGGGCATCCTGTCGGGGACCCCTCCCTTGCCACTCACTCTAACAATGCGCAGCGCCACTCTTTCATCGCTGTCGCAATCGCTTCTTCTGCTGATTGCATCTTCGCCGAAACATGTCGCCGCCGACGGCACCGTCTGGGCGACGCCCCACGACAGCTACTCCTCCTCAGTCGGCGTCCTCGGCTGCAAGATCAACACCGACCGCGTCGCCTACTGGCCTGGCTCCGTAGACTGCAACAACATCTGCATATCCCTCACCTATGACGACGGCACCTCTGACGGCGAGCGCACCGTGAAGCTCCTCCGAATCGATCAGTCCCAGGGCGCCTACGACGTCAGCTACGATGCTTGGAACTACCTATACACGGGCAAGTCCGCGAAGAAGGCGCCCGTCGCGGGTGGGCCGCTGGCCATGACATACAAGGAGCTGCCGGCGGATGACTGCAAGGAGCTCCTCAAGACCAAGAACAAGAAGCTGCCCCTCAGCGCGTCCAACAGCATGAACTTCCTCGCCAGCTGCCTCGATCAGCCGGACAGCTGGGTGGCTAAGAACTTTGGGTTGTACAACGCACTCGACTCGGTGTGTGCTTGGGGATACGACGAGGAGTGCGAGCTGGATTGGCCTGCTGCGAACCAGCCTACGTGCAAGCACTCGCTCGGCATGCCGGTCGAACTCAAGAATGCCCCTGTGTACAATGTGCAGTATCCTACGGGGGAGGTCGTAGTCGCGTCGACGGGCGAGAAGGTGTCGAGTCCCGGGGATAGTACCAGCCTGGCGGCGCCTTCACCGACGCAGAATGGGGCCCCGAGCCGCGGGATGTTGACCTTGTTGATGGCTGGTTCTCTAGTATGGACTTGCCTCATGATAGGTTCATGCTAACGTTGATGAAAAGGGACAGGAAGTGCTGTTGATATATACCACACGAGATACCACGTAATACCCCCCACGTCTTACGACAATAATGTCAAATACCACCAACATATTCTACCTCATCCCATCCCCGCATGCCACTAAGGTCAGCCGGGCTCAGGGGGAACGCGCGCGGGACCATCCGCAGTGTTGAAGAGTGAACGTTTAGCACCGTCCGAGACAGCTGTCTCTTGGGAAATGAACAACATTTCTTCTGTTACTGCGGACCATGAGCCATGTCTCAACCCATGGACCCTATGGAGGTATTTGCCTGGCTAGTTCATTTAATGATCGACCGTCAGTCCCGATTGAGGAGGAGCTGGTTGAACCTTGATAACCTGCACAGATCACTATCGAATCAATATTGGCGTCATCACCATGGCCTGAATCAAGGTATGACGCATTTGTGCATGGCTCAAAAGCCTCAGCAGGGCTGAAGAGTCTCTCAAATCTATTGTATGCCCCTCAAGACATTGGTTTTTGTCTATCGTCTAATCGGATCTTTTTTTTTGTTGCTATTCAGAATTCGCTTGCGCCATGTATGCAATGGAAAGGAAGAAATGCTGACACGCTCATGTGAGAGCCCCGCCGGGAAGAATTACATTCCTCCTCTAGGGTCCTCAATATCCCGGCACGACTCAAGTGCCAAAAGCCGTGTCTTAGGAAAAGGGAAAGGAAAAGGACAGGACTTGACCTCCTCATTTGGTCTTATAGTCCCGGAACTTTTCCCGGATCTCAGCCTCCTCAAACTTCCTCGTATGCCGCTGCAACATCGTCGCGCGCTCCTCCATCGTCATGGCAATCTGCTCGCCGACCGGCACCAGGCACTTTGCCAGGTGGAGGTAGTCCTTCTGAAGCAGCTTGACCGTCACCATGAGGTAGTCGATGTTGTGGAAAACGAGCGCCTTTTCGCGGATATAGGTCTTCTTCTGCTGCAGGAAGGACGTGGGGTGATCGCGCCAGTGACGGCGGGGGTTGAGGTGATGCGATGTGTGGTATCCATCGTTGTAGCAGTAGCGATTGCTCTGTGGGATATTTTTTGTTAGCGATCGTGCTTCTTGGCATGTGGGGTGGAGGATCCATCTTGGCAAATGCTTACCGGTACATCAATTAGGGTGATGCTGGAGCGGAAGTCCGAATCCGGCTCGTCGGCATCGACGAAGGCGTGTTGACCCCAGTTACCGACCATCAGACCCAACCTCATGAGCGCGAGGGGCCCGAGGAAGACGAAGGTCGTCGCCTTGCTGTGGAGACAGTACATGGTGTACAGGAAGGCGTAGTTGCCGAGCTCCCAGAATCCCGTCTTGAGGCCGTTCTTTGTCTGGCCCTTGCGGAAGAAGTACCGCGGCAGGTCAAACCAGACCAGGAAGATGAAGCGGCCAACGTAGTGCAAGAAGTGGAAGATATCGTCGCGCTGGTAGCGGATGGTGGACGATAAATCGTGGGGCCCGTTGCCCTCGACGTGGTGGTGCTTGACGTGGTGGTAGAAGTACGTGTTCCAGGTGTGGCCCATGAGCGGGTCGGTAATGTAGGGGAACGCGGCGTCGAAGAAGCGCAAGACGGACCAGTTCTTGGAGAGGATGCCGTTCATGTGGATGTGCTGATGCATCATGAGGGTGTATGTGCCGGTGAACCAGAACTGCATGATCATGTGCACAACGCCGTGGATGTAGTTGAAGTTCCGGAAGAGCATGATGGCGCTCGGTACTGAGAGGGTGAAGTAGAGGATGAGGTGCGTGAGCATGATGACGTCTGTCTCGTGACGAACGATTTTGCGCCCCCAGGCGACGTAGGGGACGACGACATTTTGATAGATGGCGGCTGGGAGCTTGTGGGGGAGGTCGCGCAGGTCGAATGATGAGAAAACGGACGGCTCAAAATCTTGGCTTGTTGCGTCGTTTAGGCCCTTCAGCTTGCGGATGTCCTTGGTGTCTCTCTGGGCTGAAACTCCGCGGCAGGCTGGATTTCTTTGTTAGTTGAGATGCTCGCCGAAAAAATAATGAGCCGATGTTGAATGAGAGGGTGAGTGGGAAAACGCATGAGTGAGTGAGAGTGAGATTGAAAATGAATGTGAGATTGGATAAGACAGAAGGGGAATGGAAAAGCTAGCTCACGTTCATCATCCTTAGACTTCTCACCCAAGGATTCCTGACTGGCATACCCCTCGTCGCCATCGGTGGGTGCGAGATGCTTGTCGTCGTAGCGTTCGATGTCGTCGATAAGGTTCTGCAGAACGATAGTATCGTGAACCGTCAGGTCTGGGGCGACGATGAGATTACTCATTGCATGTGTGGATTTGGAACAAAAGTCGCGGATCTCAAATCTCAATTGCCAAGGCCCCGCGCGATGAAAAGGAGTGTATCGAGAGGCGGAAGAACGGAAAGAGAAGGAGGAGTCGCGGTCAAACAAATGAAATCCCGTCTGCTCAACCCATTTGAATCTGGACGAGGACAGGTAGGAAAGGGATTTTCTTAGGGGCTTCAAAACGGGGAAAGAATCCAAAATAAAAAAGTGGGAAGACACGATGCCGTTAAAGGAGGTGACCAGTGCTTTATTACGGGTACCCAATCTCTTCAACCCATGTCGCGTTTCTGTTTCGCTTGCGCTGGGAAACCGGCAGCGTCTCCAAAAGTCACTGACTAACCGCAATGGAAAAAACAGCCCATCTTATTGTGAAATAGTGCTGTGAGCTGCGTAAGCGGCGGCAACATCATGCGAGCGCCGTATATTCCTTCAATTCTGTTGCCAATAAATTGGGGCCTATAGGTGTATGTCATCTTCCGCTCCACCTTGTCCTCCTCATCCCCATTGCCTCCTCATTCTCCTCATGCTCCTCCAATGCTTCTTCTTCCTTGGGACACTGTTCCCAAGGGAGTATGAGCTCTGTCTTTTGGAGCTTTTGATTGGCCCGGAATTCGGTTCTGCCTCTGTCAATTGGGTTTTTTGTTCCTTTCCGTCTTCACCCCAAAGAAAAAAGCATGTGCCAAAGCTATGAAAACAGCCATGTGCGACACCTTGACAGAGACTCGACAGACCATGGCTGCATGTTAGATCGAAGTCTCCTTTACAATCAAAACCACATTGTTGTAGAAACTCAATACCTCCACAGACGATATCGATATTTCCTTTTTTTTTTTTTCCCCCCCATTTGAGAGAGAAAACAAAAGGCGGTCAGACAATATCGGCGTGTGAGGTCCTGTTAGTGCAGGACTTTTCACCAGTGTCGCGCATTTCTCACCTCAAGTGTCGCGTCATTCCAACAAAGCGCAGCAAGGAGCTTGAGAGATAATAAACCCAATGGGAACCAACAATTAGGGCCAAGATCGGCAAAATTTCCCATCTGATTTCCCATTTTCTTCAGCCTCTCCAGCCAACGGGCTGCAGCAGTGCATTGCCAACTTTCCTCTCCTTTTCCTGCATGCGCAATCACAATTGCCCTGCTCGAACCCCTGCATAATCCAGTTCTAGAACGTCACTAGCCACTAGCAGGCAGCTGGGGGGGCGAAAGCTTGCGTTGACAGCGTGGGTGGGTACTTTTGGACCCTGAATCGATACCCTGAAGTAGCGAAGGTGAAACAGGCAGATTGCACAGCTCGAAGTTGTGGGAACATGGATCGAATGCGAGAATATGCTCATAGATAACCGATAGCCAGAGGTTCTGCACAGAAACACGGACAGACAGCCTGCCGCAACGTACTCGGTGTACGAGTATCTAAGGCTTTTGTATCTCGGCAGCTGTACGTCGTATCTTGTACGAGAGAGATGATCAAAAGTTGCTGGGCCAATTGGAACTCTGCCCTTTGAATTTGGAACCTTGATGTTTAAGCTTGTCCCAGCCGATGAGCCCCGACCACCGAGTACAGTATACACTATCTCCGAGATTGAACATGGGCACCTCGCGGCTCCAGCACTTCTTTGGCGCGCTCCCACCGGCCCGGCTCGTAATTGCACGGGCCGATGCACTCTCCTGGATGAATCTCCCACCGCAACGAATCCTCAGAACACTTGATGTGAGTGAAGTAGGTACCCTCCTCGACAAGTCGTGCTCCTTGCATTCGAAAAAAGGTGTTAACCAGACAACATCGAGCGCTAGATGGCAGTGGTGTACATGTTCTCAAGTTGAAGTCAAAAAACGCCCTTCGCCTTGGTCACGACCAATCGGCCGTGGGATCTGGACGAGGCATTCCACCGTCGGTTACAGGAAAAGATTCTCTTCAAGACTTCCCGATGAGGAATGCCGCCGCCCTATACTCTGGACGTCCCTCAACAAGGATGACCTCGACGACGATGAGGACCTCACCAAGTTGGCGATACAAACCGCAGGTTACTTTGGATCTCATCTGCGCAGTGTATGCGCCGCCCCCAGGCAGCGCTGATGTGGTCCCTGGAGAATGTGAAACTTGAGCAACCCGAGCGTAAGCTGAGGTTGGAACGTAAATTTTTTGCAAGAGCTACCGATAAGATTCGACCAAGCAATGCGCCACAAGCATCACGTCAAATGCAAGACTTTGTGGACAGATTCAATCCATTCCCTAGGGAAGGTAAAATCGGTTTAAATAAAGAGAAAGGTTTTGATACGGGGCCCAGACGACGGAAGTCAAGAGCGAGTATCCTGAAGGCCATTCAAATGTGTTTTGGGGGCAGAAGCGCTTTGGCGATCCAAGACTCGAATCGTATCAAACAGCCTAGGTATGAATCAGGCAAGCTGTAATGAGATTTGAAGTAGATCTGTAGTACAAGGTTTTCATACAAGCTCCACTTCATGGCTTATAGCATGTACTTGAGTTAATGTGATATCTTCTTGGACTAAGAGGTGCGAATAGCACCAGTAATGTAGGTGATATCACAAACACTTTGCTCACATTCTCAGAAGTTGCTGTTGGAGCAAAAATAATAGTGGTCTACCATGTTGAGAAAGAGACCAGCCTCACTGCCAAGTGAGGAAGAAGTGAACCATCAAGCACTGATGTGAGAACTGAAGGTCGCATATGGCGCGAATAGTCTTTGTTACCATGATACAACGTGTCATGAACTCCAGAAATGAGTCTGGTCACGTATCCACCGGCTTCTCCCCACCCCCGCCCCTTCCAGTTCCTAAGACCCCTTTCCGAAATAAGTCATGCTCATCACAACTACTTACAAAATTCGAGATATCTAGAACAGAATCGTACCGAATGCCTCATCTCCAGCTGTCAGGCCGGCTCAAGGCTATCACTAGTCTCATGACTTGGAACGCTCCTCAATCTGAGCAGCCTCGATATTTGCCTCGAATTTCTCTTCGGTGATTGAAGGAGACCTGGCACGACCAGGGGCTACCACAGCCCTACCTCTCATTTGCGCCCACACTGTCTTGTGGGTAGGTTGCATGAATAGAGCGTCCATGTCCTCAAGGGTCAGGCCTAGTCACACACTGATTAGCAATCATGCAGGCTTTCCATATAGCGAACAAGTAAACATACCCTTGGTTTCTGGCACAAAAAAGAATGCCCAGATTCCCATGAGCATCAAGATGCTGCTGAAGAAGAAGTATGCGCCATAGCCCAAGTCAGAGATCATATAGGGTGTTGAGCGAGCGATGATAAAACTTCCGAGCCAGGTTGTGGCGGTTGTGATAGAGACTGCCAGCATTCTGATTTCCAGCGTCTGCACTTCAGAAGCGTAAAGCCAAGTGATCCCTTGCCACGTTGCGCAGATGATGACCTGTAATCATAGTGTTATTGCTGTTCTTACATATACAGTGTGTATCACGGCATGAAGTGACTTACTCCATTAATGTATACACAAGCCATGGCGAGATAGCCCCAGCCATCCCGGGTGACCTCGCCTGCTGCGGCAGCTGCAGCGGGGTCTGCTTTCTACAGATTTGTCAGTATCAAAGTTTGAAGGAGGCCATCTGGCTTCGACCATTTATCTCGAGACAGAACAGCCGGGAAGGAGTCGTCAGTTACCATGACATAGCCCCCAATATACCACATCGGAATGCACCCGAGTGCAGATCCCCATAACAAACCCTTTCGTCGACCGACTCTCTCAGCAACCCAGAAGGTGAAGAGGAACATTCCAAAAGTCTTTGCGATGCCGTAGAAACCAGTAGAGAAGAGCTTCGTTGATGTTCCAGTAATCCCAAGACTCTCAAAAATCCCTTGAATGATGTTAATAATTTGCTATTCGATCAGGGAAAGTATTGTACTGACGAGGCGCGTAGTAAGTAATGATATTGACACCTATAATGGGCTTTAATTAAACATTGCAGTCGAAAAGATTGAGGGGTGTAGATACATACCAGTGAAACTCTGAAGGAACATGAGCGCCATGCCCAAGCCCATACGGTTGCGAATGCCCTTTTGGAAGAGCTTTTGGAACATTTGCTTCTTCGTCATGCGTTGAGACGTACGCTGCTCGACCTGGGTGCGGATGTCGTTCATCTCACGACGAATGTACTCGTGATCGGCCGGCAGGCCACGAATCTGTGTCAAAATTCTCTCTGCAGAGTCAAAATGGTCCCCACGAGCAAGCCAACGAGGAGATTCTGGGCACCAGATCATGCCTAGCGCAAGTCCCAGGCCTGGCACTAGCTGAATTCCGAGAGGTACGATCCACTGGGCTCTTGAGTTGACATCGATCGTCCTGTCAGTAGCATACTGTAAATTTCACGTCAGCCCCGAAATCATGACTTTGAAAATATGGCGAGGAGTGTGCCTACATTGATCCAGAAGCCCAGCATGCCGCCTCCCTGGGAGGCTATTTCGAAGATGCCGACTAGTCGACCACGAATCGAAGGCGGGGCTGTCTCTGCGATGTAAACGGGGACTGTCAATGATGATCCGCCGATGCCCAAACCAGCAATGGCACGGCCTGCGTATATCAGGTTTAGATTTCCGCTGGCTGCTGTCATAAGGGTGCCACCGATGAGAAACACGGTTCCGGCGAGCATGACGGTTTTCCTGCGACCGAATTTCTCGGCGATGGGGAATGTCAAGAGAGCGCCAAAAAAGCAACCAGCCTAGAACTTCCATGTCAACTCAGTGACAACACGAATTTGTTCTCTCGAGAATGCACATACTTGAAATGTTGAGACGATGTTGCCCTGAATCGTATCACGGGTTGATGTGCTAACTTCGTCGAGGTGGAAATCGCGTCGGAACGAGTCCAGTGCCATGGTTCCTCCGATGACAGCAGTATCATATCCCACTGCAAGCTCGAGTCAGTAAATGCCATACAAATATCTAGGGTAACCCGAAGATCGCCCCGGTTGTTGCCGGAGCCTCGCTAGTCGCGAGTTTGTACGGTGCTGTCCACAAGAGGTGGCATAGTATGCCCAGAGAGGCATGATTTGTCTTCCTGAGCATAAGGAAGTGTAGTGAATGATCTGAAGAAAAAACGTACTAGCCAAAGCCGACATGCTGGCAACCAAGGCGATTAAGTGAATGCGCCAGTTCCGCACCTCTGGGGGATCTAGCGTCCCGGACGCGTGGGTGCTGAAGAAGCCCATATTGGGCTTCAGAAGTCAAAAGGCTGATTATACCAACAGAGTGAGTTATTCAGTATGGCGAAGCCGAAGCGCAACACGCGGGACGGATATCTGAACAACCTGAGAGTTGTGTAAGAGAGAAAGAGGACCCGGCAGAAGAGTTCATCTTGGGGACCCGGCGGGGAGGCAAGCTTTATCTAGACCGACATGACGTCCCACCCTACAATAAGCTTGAACTGCACTCCATCGAATGGAAACCTCATGTTTGAAAAGCTTTGTGGAACTGTCGAGGATCGGCGGTGTTTACCCCGCGAGACCCCCATGGGGAAAAACTGGGTGGTAGTCGTTAAAACTTGCCTGTGACCCGTGACAAAGAGTCGGGTTTGTGGAGGGGATAACAGAAGAGGTTCATCCTCCCGGTCCAACCAACCATTTAGTAGTAATGAATGTGATCACATCTTGCCCCTGCACAATTGGACAGACTGGGCAGCAAACACTTGGCGTCAGCAGATGTGTGGAGTAGCCAAGAAAGGCTCCAAAGAGGGGGGTAGAGGGGGCACGAAATGTGCATCTCTCTTCATGTCTTTTGGCTTACTTTTCCGCGTTGACTTGAATATCTCTTGACAGAAACCCTGGGCTACTTCCGCCATTCATCACTCCCAAACGCAAGTGTGCCAATTTTCTCTTCCGTTGCAATTACTTACACAGCCCACTGACTACCTGTGATATGCATAACCAAGGGAGAATGAGGGGTAGCAACGTCCAAGATCTAAGCTCTAGTAGGAAGAATGCATGGACTGTAAGAGTAGAAGGCATGGATGAATGTTCTAATACTTCTGTCATGTTAGGAGTTATTTCTTTTCTGTTCACCTCGGCTTGAGTAGCACGGGACTGATGCACGAACTTATCCATGACCTTTCCCTTCAAAGAGCCACTTAACCGAAATGCTGGTCAACTTTTTCGCATCTTATTCAATCCAACGGATAGACTTTTCTAACGAAATTGTTGTACGAGATTTAGGATCAGAGCCATGGAAAGGCCAGCTAAGGAATACGCTAGTTCAAAAGGAATGCCGAGACGAAAACAAACGGGGAGAACCGGACGCAGTGAGTCGAATATGCATCCAAGTTGATATAATGAGCTGAAACCCGACGTATGATTACCGAGAGCGACCTTAGATCTCAAAGAACCGGAAGGTGCAAAATGGCATTTCTTCCCTGGAGTTGGATCAAGGTGTGGGTGACAAGCCATGATGAGACCGGGGCAACCCCCCCGTCTGGCAATTCATCTGTACCCGGCGCGAGCCTAGATCTGCCCCCCAACCTCCTCATCGGTAGTCAAGTTTGAGTTCCGAGACCACGCGAGCCGCTGCGCTGTCACGAAGCGGCTCCATCAGGAACCACTCATAACCCCCGATGGTCTCGGCGGAACAGCCAAAACTGCTGATGGCTCCTTGGTCTGGCTTGGCTCCTGTCTATCTCGTATGCGCCGCGTCGTCCCAGATCTCACTGGTATGCAGGGCTGTTTCTGCGGCGAGATGCTTCTCGGGCTCCCAATACTCAAAACTTCCATGTCTATCTATCCACGAACCGCCAGCAGCGCTCATGTGATGTTACGGCGCATCTAGAGAAACTTCCCCGCATTGGAAGAATCTCCATTATTCCACTCCCTGGCGCCGAATCATCTAGCCACCACTCAACTTGATTCGTGACATCGTCTACGTTGAAGCATCGGTTATACCTTCCAAACTACTGAATATCATACATTTCCACAATTTTAGCTGTGCTCAGCCACCCCCGGCCTGGGGTTCAAGGCCCCCGCGAAGCTAATGACGGAGGACTGTACGACTTGGCGCGGAATCCTCACTGTTCACGGGGTTGTTTTTCCGTCGGTTGACCAGCCCATCTCATCATCGAACTGTTCATCCAACGCGAGAAAATGCACTCAAATTGAGTCTTGCATGGAAGCACGATATCTTAGACCGGCGTCGCAGAACATCAAGGATTTACATCAGTGACTGAACTTCAAATTTATGGTCATATTACATAATCTAGAAGTTGGGGCGGAGATTAAAAAACCAAATCTTCATAACAAGATAAAGATCACGTATCACGACTCTCCGGATAGGTCGAGTGGGTTAGGTTCAAAGTGGCTGATGTGGTGGTGCATGGCGCTACACCCCGCGGCCTACATCTGCAATGCTCCGAATGAAGTCAATCATGTTGTTGGCTGTCACACACAACCGGACAACTTCCGTGAGGGGCACACATAGCTCGTAAAGCAAAGGTTGAACATCTGATAAGAGAATATCGATATGAGAAGCACCCAGAGTTTCGTCGTCAGTTTAATCTGCCGAGTGATTGCGTCTCGTCAACATAAGATCTGTGCCACATTAGCGATCATGAATCTTCAACTCTCGTATCTCTCATCCGATACCCATCGTCTGTGTCTGGCCGATGTTAAGTGGTGCTTCCTGTAGGCTCAGGGAGACGACGAGCTATTGTTTACTTTGGAATCGCATCATGACCGGAGTTCGAGGCTAGTGATGCTACCTTTGTATCCCGAGCTGACGACACCAAGATAAACACAAGAGATCTTCCATGTCCACGCCTTCCAACTGTAGTTTTAGCGGTGCAGTCCATCCTCAAAGACTCGGCAGATGCGTTTATGCTTGGCCTCTAGAAAGTGCGCTAGAATCTCCATAGCTGTTTGAGTTGGCATTACTAACGACGGTCCAGAAACTGGCTCTAAAGACCACCGAACAGTGCAGAACATTTGTACGTACGAGTCAGCCGGCAACGGCACAGAAAATTTTCAGGGGGATTTGACCCCCACATCGTGGAGTTGAAAGGGGGGAAATATCCCCGCGCTCCATTCCCCCAGCTTTGGACAAAACGCTGCACGCTCATCCACACACTCCAACCCAACGCCGGCCACACCAAACCATTACAGGCAGGCAGACAAGGCAGTGCGAGTGACAATCAGCGGCAGTAGGGAAAGAATTGAAGGGGGCAAAAGGGAGAGGATGTCCGCCACTGCTAAAGAGCCCGCACGCGATCGCAACCGCCAGCATGCAGGAGAATAGTGGGACGTCGGCTCTGCCAAGTTACTCCCGACCAGCGAGAAGATCGGTGAGGTCCAGGGAAGGGTGCTTGACCTGCAAGTAAGTTTTCTTCACACACTTTACACCGGCAGTCGTTGGCCTGAGTCTCCGGTGCGGCCGCCGATGGGGCGGTCGTCGGGCAATCTCCCGACGCTGCTGCCGAGGGGATTCAGCCAACGACACGACATTACCAGCAAGACTCCGTAACGATGAGGGATCATCTCGCTGACGCTCGACCCGCAGACGCCGCAAAGTCAAGTGTGATGAGAGTCGGCCTCGGTGCAGTCATTGCGAGCGCTTGAACCTAGAATGCAAGTGGCGGCCACAGTCAAGCAGCTTCGCCGCCCACGCAATGTTAGCAGCCGCAGGGTCCTCGGGGTCTGGTCGCAGTCCGGCTATCCCGTCCCATGCTACCGATGCCTCCGTGTCGCCGGCGGCGTCGATATTCCAGCCCATGCAGGCCGTCGATGAGATATTCGACTATGCCAACTTCTTGTGGGATGCTGGCGATGCCTGGCAACAGGTCAACCCACAGCCTGGCCAGCAGATGAGCCTTGATGGGCAAGTTCTTGTGAGACATCCTATACTCAAACTCAGCCTTGTCTCGTGGACGCATGATACTGACCTTCACAGAGAAATCAGTTCGGGGGCCAGCCTTTTGGAAGCCGGCCACCACCACTGATGAGTAGCCCACCCAATCTCACCTTCCCAGATCGAACGGCTATGGATGAGCTGCCAGACCCATCGCCAATTCCGGATGCTAGCAGTCAGTCAGAGCAGGCTATGGCATCGCAGGTTCCGACTGAGGATGATAGACTCATGGATTACTTTAGCCGTGTCGTCGTTCCCCCTATCCTTGCCGAGGTAGAGACGCAGAAGAAGTGGCTGGCCGTCCGACAGGTTGTCGTCGATATGGCGGGCGCGTCACAAATGGTCAAGTGGTCGGTACTCGCTTTCTCGAACCTGATGCTATCGCGGCGCGAAGGATCTTGGCTGGCAAGTCCGGAGGATCATTATCAGAAAGCCGTGTCAGAAGTGGCTACCTGCGGGGATGATTCGTCGCCCGCTACCGACAGCCCGAGCTCACGCAGGGAACACCTCCTCGCGACACTCTTCTTCCTAAGTTATGTCGACATCCTCCGAGGTCAGATCAAGGCTGCAGACTCATTCCTCAAACGAGCCTATGGGCTATTTCAGCAAGGAGAGAAAAGCAGCTTTGCCGCTATCGAGAAGCAGTTTCTCCAGTGGATGCGCTTACTCGATGCCCGTGCCGTTTCCGCCGGCGGACAGGGCTTACTCCTCTCTAAAGACGACGAGCTGCTTCTAGTCGAAGCATCACCAGCCAGCTTTGATGGAGGGGGCGCTGACTCAACGAGGGAAGATTTTGGAGACGGTGACATCGAGGATGTACTATTCCAAGTCCTGTACCAGCCCGGCATTGTCTTCTTCCAAAAAGTCCAGAGCTTTATGGGTCGGATATCAAAGATCGATCCTTGGCATAGGTCACGTGGCACCGTCGAGGACGAGACAGAGGTCATGAACATCGGGGCCGCCATCGCAGCAGATCTGAGGTCCTTGTACGAGCAGCGGCCCCCACTCATGGACTATGCCGTGTCGGGGAAACTGACAGAGCCTCACGTTTCTCCGCACCTCGCTTTTGTCATCACGCGTGCCTTTCGAACCTATCTTGCCAACTATCACGCAAGTAAAGTCCACCTACATAGGGTGGCGTACAAATCGTTTCCGCTTACTAAAGAAGCCAACGAGGCTCTCAATCAGATTCGACGTCTGGCTCGACTACTCGTCGATTCGCTGGATGCAGACAACTCATTACCGGTCAACATGCTCTGGCCTCTGCTAATGCTGGGGTCAGAAGAGCAAGACCCCCAGGAGAGATTATGGATCAAAACCCAGATCTTGCGTATGGAAAGCGTTGCCGGCAATGCGAAGATCACAGCTCAGGTCCTAGAGGAGGTACAAGCCAGGCAGGATGCTGAGAAGGTCCGGGTTGACATTCGATCCGTTATGCACGCCATCTTCAACTCATGTTTTGCCATCGTCTGAGCTGCCTTCAACCACTTCAGCAGACCCCATCACCGAACTTTACTAAACCAATCGGTCTTCGCGAGCTGTCTTAAGTCAACAATCTCCCCTTGGACAGCTCTGCATTGGCAGCGTTCGCTCGCGTCGTGACTAGCTCGTGTCGCGGAAAGCATTAGATACCCCTTTCATTCTTCGCCTCAATCAAATCAACTTCATCATCCTATGCTACATCTACCGTCTACGTCTCCTGTCGTCGACGAAGTTCTCTCCCACGCCAACGGAACCGTTCTCTTCCTAGTTAGAGAGCTAGACCCCGAGCTGACAAGCTGCGTGATCAGATCCATCGGCTGCAACCGACGGGCGACACTAGCGTACCCGACAAGTGTGGATCCCGATCGGAAGGCCCACATCCGGCCGCGATGCCGATCCACTCCGATCGGTTACTCTCTGCTCCTAGGTGCTTTGTCCGAATACGACATGATTTGCTGGAAAAGTCTGGAGTTCTCCAACCAGATGACCTTGACAGTGTGGCCCGTGGGGAAGACAGAGTGAGCAGCTCACGACTCATGACCCTGCCCACTTCCTGAGACTCTAACTCCACAACGGTTCATGCCCGTGGGGAGCGTCGGCTTGTCGGAAACACGCCACCTTGAAGAGCCCCGCGCCTTAAAGCCCACCGCGGGGTTGAGCGCTCCGAGCCACGGAGTTCAGGAGATACTTGTATCGACTGTTGCCATTCAGAATAGTTGGTCCTTCTGGATATTCTAAGTTTCCAACCGATACCCCAAACTCTCTTGTGTCTGCTTTGCCAACTTCATCCCACTACCCATCAGAACATTCACAATGGCTGCTAAGACTTTCCCCGCCGGTATCCACGTGCCGAGTTTGACCTGGTTTGGCAACGATGCCAGCCAAGAGATTGACTGGGACGTGCAGACCAAGCACCTGGAATTCCTAGTGAAGTCTGGCCTCCACGGAGGTAAGTAGCAGTCCACAACCAGAATCCTGGAGAAAGCCAAATCTGACAGTGTCACAGTGGTCCTTGCTGGAACCAACGGTGAGGCTGTTACCCTCACCAACGAGGAGAAGACCAGACTCGTCCAGGCCACAAGAGAGATTGCCGTCAAGGCCGGCCGCCCCGACCTCACCATCACCATGGGCTGCGGTGGCCAGTCTACCCGCGCTGTCATCGACGAGACCAAGCTCGCCAAGGCCGCTGGCGCTGACTACGCCCTTGTTCTCGTCCCCAGCTACTTCCACTTCGCCATGAACGAGGAGGCCATCGTCGGCTTCTTCGAGGAGCTCGCCGATGCCAGCCCCATCCCCATCATCATCTACAACTTCCCTGGCGTTGCCGCCGGTCTGGATGTCAACTCCGACATGCTCTCCCGCCTGGGCAAGCACGCCAACATCGTCGGTGTCAAGCTCACCTGCGGTGGTATCGCCAAGGTCGCCCGCGTCCGCGCCGAGTTCGACCCCTCCGAGTTCTTCGCCCTCGCGGGTCAGAGCGATTGGCTCGTGCCCGCCATGTCCGTCGGCAGCAATGGTACCATCACCGGCGTCGCCAACCTTTTCCCCAAGTACTGCATCAAGATCTTTGACCTCTACAACACCGGCAAGATCCAGGAGGCATCCGCTGCTCAGCTCAAGCTGGCTCAGATGGAGTGGGCTTTCGGCAAGGGCGGCATCAACGGCACCAAGTGGGTTGTTGCCAAGTCGCACGGATACCCCTTGACCAGCTGCCACTGCAGACGCCCCTACCCTCAGTACACCGACGAGAAGAAGCAGGCCTGGATATCGGACTTGGTTGCGCCTTTGGCTGTCGAGGAGACTAAACTTAACTAGAGCGCTGGTATAAGTTCATTTGAGGGGCTACGACTACGCTTTATGAAGTGGTGCATATAATGGCATGGGCAGGCGTTTAGGTAACTTTGGTTAGAATGGCACAAAAGCTTTGTCAGAAATTATCAAGACTTGCTTAGTCTTCACAGCAAGAATAATTAGATGGCTTTGATCATATCAAATCGGTGCATTATTGATGGGTGCAAGTTAAATGTCTCATGTTGACCAACCCGTTACCAAATTACGCGAACAAGCACTGAAGAAGGGGGAAATTTTGAGTATATTGATCAGGTGATGAACGAAAGACTATCGATCTATTCATGAAATGACTGACGAACCCCCTCTGGGTAAGTGATGGCAAGCTCTCCGTAGAGTGGCTAGGAAGAATTGCAGATGGAAGTCAGGTGAGAAGTTGCATGAGGCTTGTCGCTAGCAGCCTGGCCATTGAACGTGACCACCAAAACTTGCAGGCTCTGGGTACGGAGGGTGGTCAAAGCATACGAGTTGCTGGCTCCTGTTCATTCCTAATCAGCCTCATTGCTCACCCATAGTTGCATTGGTCCACATGGTAATAAGAAACTTACCTCTTTCAAGGCAACTTCAAGTCCTTTAGCTCTCAACCATGAGAACCGCTTACAAAAGCTTGTAAGCCTTCGCATCGTCCTGAGCGGGGCTGAAGGCAGTAGACTCTTCGCGCTTGTAGGCTTTAGCATCGTCCTGGCCTCTCTTGTAGGCCTTCGCATCGTCCTGACCGCGCTTGTAGGCCTTGGCGTCGTCCTGGCCTCTCTTGTAGGCCTTCGCATCGTCCTGACCGCGCTTGTAGGCCTTGGCGTCGTCCTGGCCTCTCTTGTATGCCTTCGCATCATCTTGACCTCTCTTGTAGGCCTTCGCATCATCTTGACCTCTCTTGTAGGCCTTCGCATCGTCCTGACCGCGCTTGTACGCCTTGGCATCGTCCTGAGCGGGGCTGAAGGCAGTAGACTCTTCGCGCTTGTAGGCTTTAGCATCGTCCTGGCCTCTCTTGTAGGCCTTCGCATCGTCCTGACCGCGCTTGTAGGCCTTGGCGTCGTCCTGGCCTCTCTTGTATGCCTTCGCATCATCTTGACCTCTCTTGTAGGCCTTCGCATCATCTTGTCCGCGCTTGTACGCCTTGGCATCGTCCTGGGCAGGGCTGAAGGCAGTAGACTCCTCGCGTTGGTGAACCTTGGCGCCAGCCTGAGCCACCGCACCACCGTGAGCACCTGTTGAAGTGTTAGCCAATTGGATTGTCCTATTTTTGTGCCTAGAAATCGATATGGAACTGGTTGATGGCCAGGGAATGTTAGCTCACCGAATGTCTCAGCTGCGAGGGCAGTCAGGGGGGCGATAAGGAGGAGGGTGTTGGAGAACTTCATTTTGAAAGCTTAGTGCGAGGATTGGTGGTTGGCTGGTTGCTGATTGCGTAGTAGATAGATGTATGCGTTCGATGGAAGCTGTTGTGTAGAGAGCTGGTTGAGATGAGGACTATTTCGGACGTGTTAGACGAATTATATACTCATACTCAGGTCTCGATCGCCTCGAAAACATAATTAGATGTTCAGTAAGTCTGTTTACTGGTTGTCGCATCATCATTGACTGCCACTGCGATTCAACTGACAGAGTCTCATTTGTGCTTAGAGACTGTCAGCTCCGCCGTTCAGATCGCTTGATGTCATTGAGGCACATCATCTAGATGCTAGGTATCACCTTAGGTCGCCACATTGTGTAACAGCCACAAGTATTTGAATTTGTCAAGGCGATTGGAGTCTGGACAGTCAGTGTATGAGTCAGCTGTCAGGCAGTGTCATTCTGTCCTTCTCTTAGAAAGAGTGGAGATGCTGCATCCTCAAGCTGACTTTTAGTCATATAAGAAGCTTGGATTTTTGTCACCTGGATTATCATGTCAGACTTGGTCTGTATATACCTTGTTCAAGCAACGGAGACATCGGAAACTCAAACCCAGCAACGGCATACTCTTTTCGTGATTGACTGACTGGGCCATACATGTAGGATCGTGCTGGTTAGTCTCGAGATAGGACCGCTAATTTCCCTTCGATTTGGTCCTACTTCAGCTCTGGCTGCACGCAGTGTTCTCACATTTGACTCCATGACAGATTTTCATACATTTCAACATATCGGTTTGCGACGAATTTTTTTCTGGAACAATGAACCTTCTCAAATGGCCTTGGTCCCGTATCTCTGGCCTACCGGAATACCAAATCATGAACGAAAATGGCTCTGATGCTGGGTCTGAGGAGCACCTACTCGTCGAAAAGAGCTCTCTTCGTCCTCGTCAGGGATCCAACGGGCTTTTGGGTCAACTCCGTCGACCCTATCTTTGGGTTCATCTCATGATATTCACGTTCTATACCACCCTCTACCTTACATTTGTCATCTCACTGCAAGGTGAAGAAAAGATCTGCGCCGACGATCAGACCATGGTATGGTGTAAGTTGATTCTGTTTCACACAGGTATTTTGGAGATCGATGCTGAATGTCAATCTCCGAACTACAGCACCCGCCCGCGAAGCTCTCAAGCCAGAACGATCCTTGTGGATGAATGAAGTGACAGATGACAACGTCTATCGAGGCAAACCAAGACCGGAACTAGACGCAGCTTGGGATGAGCTCGTCTTGTACAGCAATCTCAGAGTCAAAGCCGATGATCTCAGAAAAATCAACAGGACCTCCGTTAGACTCTCCGATGCGTCTGGACAGCTGACCGACTATTACTGGAGCGGGTTAAATGTCCACCATCAGATCCACTGCTTGAAGCTAGTTCGACAAGCTCTCTATCCGGATTACTACTTCAAAGGCAACGTGAAGCTGAAGCGGCATCTTGAAGATCACATTGATCATTGCGTTGACAGTGAGATACTCCTGAAATCCTGGAATTTCATACTCTACTGTGCTTACATGAACTTGGCAGATATTCGCATGACTCTCATGTGCAAAGCTGACATCTCGATCGGTTCGTATGACTGGGTCGACAACAATCGAAGGCCTTTGACGAACTTCCGCACTGAGCACAGCTGTTACAATTGGGATCTTGTCAACAACTGGGCTAGAGATCGCCACTTTGATATCTACGACAACACCACAATTATTCATCCTTTCCTTGGTAAGACATTTCTATCCTTACTGTAAGCTCGAAATATTCTGATGTGTCCTTGATACTTAGGCAAGTCGTATCCTCTTGACTCTGAGGGAAACTATGTATTCACAGAGGAAATCGATCCCTTTTTGGGCAACAAGATTACGCCTCCGTTGTAATGATAACACAGAGGGGAAAATCCCCGTGCTGCGAGAGTACTAGGAGATGGTGCAGCGCAACCTTGGAGCCGAAGGTTAATGGCATCCACATGATGCTGGATTAGAATGCAATTTGAAGATCCTAGCAACTGTCTCCTGAGGGCGTGACTGCTTTTCTTGAGTGAATCGTCATCAGGGCCCATCAGATTCTTCAAAATAAGAATTAAATTTCGCGAAACATGAAATAGTCTCTAAGTCCTACGAGCGCTCGGCCAGGGACCTTGCCCAGTTCTCCGACGAGGAAGGGGTGGGGACATTGTAAATTGAAGCCAGTATACGCGTAGTCCATCAAAGTTCTGGTTACATAGGACAATGATGCTTTAGGACATGCAAGCTTCATTTGATTTGTGCGGGTGCACACATCTTCCCTGAGCCTTGAGGCGTTCATGGTCGCAGCTTAGCTAAGGCAGTTCTAAACAAATGAGTGGCTGGTGCTTCTACTGACGTGTGTTACTCTTGTTCCTACTCCACAATGCAGTCTTGTATTATTGCATTAACTTCACAAGAAACCGGATTTTATCTGGACATCTAGGCCTGGCATGCGGATAGATCGCTAAGAAAATTCTGGCCACTTGCCGGCCGGCTTCCTCGCGCACGGTCAAAACGTCCGGGGGCGGTTGAGGAGTATCCAAAGCTAAAGTCACGCGGGGTTGCCAAAAATGACAGACTTGTTCAGAGAAGAGGCATCGGCCCGACGAATAAAAGATGAGAATTAGGGAGTTGCCAGCTCTCCCCATACAAAGACTCTTCCGTCTTCTTTCCACTCACCCGAAGCCGAAGAATAAGGCCGGATGACGGGGAAAAGCCCGAGGCCTCCGCTTGTTATGAGGCGGCCCGGTGGGCCAGCCGGGGGGCAGGTTGCATTCAGTTTTGCCGGACAGATTCAGATTGTCGGCTAGAGTAAGTTCATTGGGCAACATAGTCATAAACGGACATGGTTTGTGATATCGAACTCTACTCCATACTCCTCCGTCTTTCCTGGCAAGGGTCCTCCATTAAGGTTTCCGTCGTCTGCGGGGCGGGCCGCTGCCGTACGAGTCATGGCTTCGGACGGACATTGGTACATTGCTCAGCGATCACTCATCCATGACCCGATGCACTCACTCCGCAACGGATATCAGGGTATCGGTACGAAGTCATCATTCTATCACTAATCCTAAGAAGTACCGTATCGGAATGGTTCTGGCTGTACAATCTCTCCGATCTCGCAGCTTTGAGCTCGACACAATCAGAGCCGCGGTTTATATCGGCCAAACCATCCTCAAGGCCATTAAAGACCAACCGCAAAGTTGAATATGCCAGGTCACCATATACTGACCCAGCCAATGTTCTTTACCGTCTGAAAACTAATCTTCCATCGTGAAACCCGCCGTCTTCGTAGCGGACTCTTGGCTTGATCATGGTCCACTTTGTGGATCTCCGACTGCATTTCACTTGCATGGCCACGAAGCGGCAAACAAGCCAGTAAAAGCCGACGGAAGCTACCGTCCAAAGAGGTAAGCCGAAGCCAAGTGGGTTGTAACTCAGGCAAATCCCAAGGGTCTGTGGCATGATATCTGAGATATCCCCTCTCCCAGACCATGCTTGGATTTCGGGGCACATTTCGGCAACGAATCCGAGTACACCAAATTGCAAAGACGACCAAGAATTCACGAGTCAAGAGGGTCTTTTGAGGTCGAACTTTACAAGGGTTGAAGGAGTCGAGAACAACATGGTGAGACTGCCTGGCCAAGTGGATAGGCCAAAGACGACCTTCACGTAGTATTGAGTTTGGAGAAACACGAGATGAGTAGACCGTAGCACAAGATGTCTATGAGCTCCGAGAATTAACCTCGCGAGCAGACGCTGCTGCGGATCGCTAGAGATGCAAATAAAGAGCTAGCAAGCTTGTTGAACGCGGCAATACTGCGAATAAATGCATGTTTAACTGCCCTTATCCTGTGACTTCAATCTAGATTCCACCGAAACCATTGCGTACCATCTTCCGTACGACTAGGTGACCTATTCTGAAAGTGTTTTGAAATATTCGCCTTTCGATCGAACACAATCTGTCTTCAAATGATGGACAGGGAGAAGGCTGCTCCCCTGTCAGGAAAGGATGACTGGACCGCAGTATCTGACCCGAGAGAAAAGAAGAGGATTCAAAACCGAATCGCGCAGCGTGCTCACCGTCCGTCTCAACAGCGATGATGATATAGCTTTGAGAGTTCAAGCTGACAGTCGAGGCAGGTGAGAAGCTTAAACAGCGCCTTCAAGTTCTCGAGAGTTTGGTCAAGGAGAGGAAAGAGATGTCCGCCAACGAACACGAGTCTGGGGACAAAGGCTCGCTTAGCATACCCACGACCCCAGGACAACGATCAGTACCATCATCAACGGTGCCTCCTCTCAGCTCAAGTAGCACATCCAGAGAATCGATGTCTCTCTCAAATGATCCCTCTTCACAATATCCAGAAGTCGCCGAGACCATGTGGCGATTTCTGGCTCAAACATCGCAGAACCCGCCGCCAATCACCAGCCCAGGCGGGATCTTTGGTGGGGGAAGACCAGATGACGTCCATAAAGGACTGGCGCCTGGATGTTTCGACGACCGCGAAGATCCACTGGTCGTGAGGCTTGGTGCCCCCTCAGACCAGATGCTTGGAATGATGGCCCCAGCCGAGATACCCAGCTGGGAGAACGACATTGCCCTAAGCTATCTCTCATCTCCACCGGAAACAGAAGTTATCCAACGTCCAGAATACTCTAATAATGAGTCTATGGGCATCCACAGTGTCTTCTACAGCGGAAAGAACGGCTCAAGAACGCCACGGGGACAATTGGGCTCCATAGCAAGCACCACATCTCTTTGTGAGAGACTGAGCTGTTTGAGGCATTGCGCAAAACTTCTAGGCTTTGGCAGCTTGGATGCTGTGCTCTCTCTTTACTACACAGCCGATCTGAGCGAGTCGCCCGCTCTCTCGGAGGAGCAGCGCACCAGTCGCGAGCGGCGGCTTCCCACTCTTCTCTCTGAGATCAGGGAACATTCCAACACTTGGAACAGATGGGAACAATCTGGCTTCATCGAAGAAATGCTACGAGGTGCTCAATACTTTTACGCCGAGGAAGTCAAACAAGGGAAGGCTGACTTGGAAGAACAACTTATGGGCACACTTGATGACCCGTTGATGATAGAATCCGTGCCTGAGATTGCATGGATCCTGAGAGACAAGGTTCGTGGTGTACCCAAGCATCATTAAGATGCCATCTATTCAACATACGGCTTACATGACGCGCCAACTATTAGTATCCCCGCCTATGGGCCTTGATCACGAGCCTCATTGCGCACACGGCATCAGGAGAAGAGCAGGCACATCCTCACGGCGCATTCGCATGTGTGATGACGGTGTGCCATCCTATGAAGCCTCTACCGCCTGCTGCTTTTGCAGGGAATGTTCGGAATAGTATTCCATGACTTAAATCCCTCGCGCAGCTGTCAGTAGACGCGCCGTAGTATACATGTATTGAAGATTGAAACCCGCAGCAGTCTCACATTACAAGCTTAGATAAGATGATGAAGAGATTGGTAGCAAGCTCAGGCCTCACATGCTTATGTTCACAAGCTATGTGTCTAGATGAGGTACTCGAGGAAGGGCCATTTCCATTGTCTCCATCACGTACGTAGATGGTAGCCGGTCACCCTTCGAGGTTCCATAGATCCCAAGTACCCAAATATCAAAAACAATGTCCCTTCTGCACTTGGAAATATGGTTGATGAGTAGGTAATAAGCATACACAGCCAAGCTATTCGGAAAATCATGTCAGACTGCACGTAAACGGTAAATACACGTCGGGATTCTTCGAGATAGTTCTGGCGGATACTCATAACTAAGTTAGACCACCTTGATATCGTCATCAACCCAGGTATCTGATAAGATGAGCCTGCGGTTCTTGTAGTACCTCTTGATTGAATTGGATGGTCAGTGTGTGACAAAAACGTTGACCTGCGGGGCGCGCAGTCGTGTTGTAAGCCGGCGGGGTATTTAGTCACCAACCAGATGAGCAGTCAGCATGTCCAGCAGAAAGACAGTCAGAAAGTAAGCATGTAAGATAGTAAGGATCTTGGCCAGCCAGTCGGTCAGCCAGCCTTGTTGTACTGCTCTGGACTCAGGATTGTCAATCTGGTTCATCACACATCGTATTCTTTTGGTTAAGAGGAGAAGGATGCGAGCCAGTGGACAATGAAATATGAGAAGTGGTCTGACGCCACTGAAGCTCGTCCACTTTTGACAGCCTTCTAAGACAATTTAAGATGAAGCGTCTGCTTCTCCTGTGCATAGGATTGACCCATGTTTTGGGCAATGCCCAAAGTGAAGGCGGCGATGCACTATGCGTCTTTCCTCGGCCTCTCGCACACCCTTCAATTTGCGGCATCAAGGGTGCTGTAGACCCACTCACAACCACTCGAGACCGAGTTGTCTCCAACTCTTCGGCACTATCAGTAAGCTCTCCCTGGACGAACATTTCCCGATGCTCCATAGGCCAGCCTGATTCGCCCGAGTTCTGCATCTACACCAAGGAGGACTATGGCGGCAAAGGCATCGCTATTATTACCGAGGCCGTGACTGCCAATCATATTGCCAGGAGTCAGGGGTTTACAGGAGAAAACTCTCTTCTCGGTGCCAATCAGCTACTACCGAAGGTCAAGGTCGCAGCCATTCCGGGCAAAGAATACGGGCTGGTAGCTACGGAACGTATTGCACGGGGTGAGGTGATTCTCAAAGAGACGGCGAGTCTGCTAGTTGATTATGCGGTACTCGAATGGATGCCCCGGAAGCAGCTGGAGATCATGCGAGCTCATGCCGTAGGTCTGTTGGGCTCTCGACATCAAAGCCAGGTCATGAACCTATCCACCCACGGATACCATGGCGACGAGGCGTCTACCGTCGCTGCAATTGCCAAGAACAATATGTTTTCCATCAGCACCAATAGCAGCCATACTGATGACCGTTTCTATGCATTATTCGCCCAAAGCAAGTTTTCTCTTTACCTTCATACATGCTTGCTGCCATACTGATTCTTACAGCTTCTCGTCTAAATCACGATTGCCGCCCGAACATCGACTACTGGTTTGACCCTCGAACACTGACACAGCGGACAACCGCTCTTCGCGATATTGTCCCCGGCGAGGAGCTCACCATTAGTTACGTCGAGCCTTTGCAGTCTCGCAAAGATCGACAGAACCGTCTGCACTCCAATTGGGGCTTTAGTTGCAGCTGCCACTTCTGTACGCAGTCTGATCTCAAGTCTGAAGCATCAGATAAACGTATCACAAGAGCCTACTTTCTGCTCGAGGAATTGAAGGACCACTCGTCTCAATCGCAGGCCACCCCACAAATGGCCGAGCTGCTTATATCGCTTTATAATCAAGAGCACAACTGGAGCTTTCTCAGCGAGGCATACATGCTCGCTGCGATTGAATACAACGGTGTTGGGGAGCCATGGCTTGCGACAAAGTATGCCAGTTTAGCAATCGATGCTGGCCTCCTTTCTCTGTGGGAGGACCATAGGCACGTCAAAGATATGGAAGATCTCGCAAGGGATCCGTGGTCACATTGGAGTTGGACGATGAGAAAACACTAGAGGTGGGCAGGAGCACGAGTGCAAATAGCAGGTGCTTGAAAGTTGAGCAGAACTATATTTTCACGGCAGCCCATCTTTGTGTGAAAAACGTCTATGGGAATAAATTTCAGCCCTCAATAAAACTAATGATTTTGGATCAATTCAACCGCCCAAGAGGCTAATGGTGACCGAGCGAGCCGACAACTTGGATGCCTAAATCACCATGTCTTGGCTTTGATCAAGTTCTACATCAAACCGGAGAAACTGCACCGGTCAACAACTTGGCTTGGCGCTTGCGTGTCCAATCAACATAGATCTTCGGCAAAGAAAGACATGCTACCCAGTTGTTATGCATGGTTCAAAACAACTTCGGGCCCAGATCTGCAGGTCTCAGCACCCACTTCGGCGCATGCAGATCAGCCGCACGAGTCTAACTGTCAGGTTACCCCGTGGGATGGAGATAGAAAGCAACATTACTACTATGATTACTTGATGGCACATAAACAGGCAAGTGAAGCCACCTACCCATGCAGTCGAATTACACTATAGTTTCCCTCCACAAAAACTCACGGACCAAGACCGTCAAATTTGCTTGATACGCCGTTGCTCTTTTGCTTCATAATTATCCTTACAACCTATAAGCGACCGTTTTCGGGGCAACAACGATAATCTCCCGTGATTTCATAGGTACCGTACAGCTAAGATTCGGCAACAAGCCCCAGTCAGGCGATGGAGAAGTTAAAGCATGTTTTGAGGGGCTTCAAGAAGCTGCGAGCTGGCATCGAAGACGAGGGTGAGGATGAGCAGGACGTTGACCCCGATTGGGACTTTGATCCAAGCAAATACAATGAGAAGGTTCTGAAAAAGTTACGGAAGAGCTTCTATGACGTAATCGAAATCATTACGATTGCTTTCCTCACTTTGTTGTCGACGAAGGCTTGCCACCGCAACAAAGGTGGATATATCAGACACTCTTGCTGCAGTCTCGGCAAACTTTCAGCAACAAGATATATCCTTGGACTTATCTCAATGCTTTCCTCGCTTGGTATTTTCCGAACATCAACTTTCATGCATACACCTTAGCCATCTTGGCCGACAGTCATATCCGTGGCAAGTACGCCAACATGAACGTACCGGATGAGCTTGGGCTCATCTTGAAGCCTTGGATCTTTGGAGGGGCACGTATTATTTTTCGGAGATTGTTCGACTTTCGCGATATTGTCACTGGTTTGGAAACAGTGTTGGGTCCTTCGGAATTCTGACCGACTACTGTTGCGCCAATCTTACCCGGCTTACTACTCAGTGCCCCGAGGGCTACAATCAATGGGTTTGTTCCGGAGGGAAGGCAGGGAGTCATCATGGCTATAGTTGTATGGACGTGTGTTTCTACTCTTCCCAACATTCTCCACTACACATTCTGGTTGTGGTTTACCGGGCCGGATCCCTTTTTGCAGCCGGTGATGGCTTTCGAGTGGTTGCTATGCTCTGTCTTCTGGTTCTCAAACGGCGTTCCCTTCCAGGCAGCTTATGCCATGCACCTCTTCACCAATCAGTACCCTCATCAGGAATTTTGGCTACGGCACCACGGCGGTGAGGCCTCGCCAATTCTTCAAATGGAGCGTCGCGGGTGCCGTTGGTTCGCAATTACAAGCTTTTTTATCAAAGCCATCGAGATGGATTCAGACTGGCCAAGGCCTGGGCCTTTGATGCTCCCAATTGGCACTTTGCTAAAGGTCGCTGCTGTCATCGGAATGGGTGTATATCTGGTGCGATATGGAATGACGATGCGAATGACAAAATTCAAGCACAACTCACTGCGACGATCGAATGAGTTTCGCATTCTCCGACTCCGGGCCCAACCCTGCTTCAGCAACTCACCAGTGCAATGCGATATTATTCACTCAACATTGGACTGCCCTCCCTCGTACCGAGCCGTTTCCCACCGCTGGGCACCTACGGGAGACGAAATTCAGATAATTCTTGTTGATGGGGCGCCGTTTCCGGTCTCTACAAGCATTTACGATCTTCTCGTGGAGCTCCGGCGGCAGCGGTTTTCTCAGCTTTTGTGGATTGACTCCATTTGCATTGACCAGGCCAACGCTGAAGAGAAGAGTCGGCAAGTAGGGCTGATGCGGGAAATATTCGAAGAGGCCACATCAACCATTGGGTGGCTAGGCAAAAGTCCAGGGGCGGCGAAAGCATTTGAACTAGTACGAAGAATTGTGACGACAGAAAAGATGGACCAGAAAGAGCTCGCCAGTCTGAAGTCATCCCCTTCTTCTGGGTGGGAGGAACTACTTTCTCTATTGACTGACAGCTGGTTTGAAAGAGTCTGGATCATTCAAGAAATCGCCGCCTCTACAAACACTGTACTTCAGAGCGGAAATACGACGATGATACACTGGGAGTCCTTCGCAAAAGGTCTGGGCCGGATCCTGACGCTTGGAGCAGGAGGCGACGAAGACCTGTCCATCCTGACCAACGAACACCTTATGAATGCGCTCATCATGGAGAACATGCGTTTCCAAGTTGACGAGATTGATCGTCTCGCTCTTAAAGATGTTTTGAAGCTCGGATCCAGGTTCAAAGCAACACTTTCGGTCGATAGTGTGTTTGCTTTGCTGGGAGTCAGCAGAGAACGGAACGCGCCGCTGTTTCATCCAAACTTTCGTCATAGTGAAGTCTTTACAGAAGAGATTTTCTCTCGAGGAGGGGTTGCCAAAGACTTATTGGACATATTGGGTTCGATCAGTGAGTTTGCCGACGGGCTAAGAGAGACAAACCCACTTCAGAGCCGAAAGACTATCAGATTGATGGAGTCTATACCCAAGGCGAAACGGTCTTTCAGGGAAATGGTGGACGGGATGCACATCATTCTAGATCGAAAAAAAAAGTCCAAAGACAGTCCTCATCACATCAAACCGGACTACACCGACAAGAGCACACCCGAGATTGTTTACACTATGGTCGCCCGAGAGCTTACCAGAATCGGGGACGCTTTCGCCTTTCTTCCATACGCAGGAATTGGCAATTCTAGGAACCCTTCGTTTGAGAACCTGCCATCATGGGTTCCTGACTGGTCAGCTGACATCAACGTGTACATTCTGCCCCAAGATTTCAAACCGCCGATGAAGGAACAAAATTCGAAGTCGGCCGATGAAGCTGAAAGCAACGACAAGCAACAATCTTCAGTTTCAGATGGCGGGTTCAATCTACTTCACATCAAGGGGAGAGTGGTCGGCAAGGTTGTCTTTGCAAACAAGTTGCGAGACAACCTCGGAAAGTCTAGAGGGAATAGTCTGGAGGTTGCAAAAACAGATCTGGAACTTATGGTTTCCAATCTTAATTTGGCACTGAACGCAGCTAAGAGAATTTCTCTGTCATACAATCAGTCGGATGACGACTTGCCCGATATCTTCCTGCATACTCTTCTAGCAAAATCAACAGACGAGGTTCAGGAGGACGCGTCCAAGAAGAGCGTTGAGTTGTTAGCAGATGCGATTCAAAATGACCGGAAGCTTCTCGAACAACTCAAAAGAAGCGAGTTGGAAGACGGCATGAGCCCGGATACATCTGTACCCGGCAGGCCTTCATCGATGGCATTGGAGGCCATGACAATAGAGTATCTTATGAAACGAAAGGTCTAGTCCTCTTCCAACAGCAAGTTTGCACATCTCATGACAACGGATGTCCTACCTAGTTTCGAACACTACCGGTGGCAAGAGGAAAACATCATAGAGTCAGCGAAAAATCCATTGCGAATGTTTGACAAGCGCGTTACCAGCGTTCTGGCAGCATACGATCATTACGTGGACTACACTCTGGGAAGACAGTTTGTGGTACTGGATACGGGGCATATGGGCTTGGCCCCAGCGGGGGTTGCGGTTGGCGACTTGATCATCAGGGTGAAAGAACAGGCAGTATTTTTGGCTATAAGGGCGGCCCCTGTCTCAACGCGTGTGGAAGAAGAATTGGAGCTTGAAGAGTTGCGAAAGAAAAGGTTCCTGAGAAAAAAGGCTATGAAAGAGAAAGCCAGGAAGGAAAAGATCGGCAAGGATGGCATCGAACAGAAGGAGGATCCCCGAGCAGATCCAGCAAACAAAGATAAACAGGGGACCAGCGAAGCTGACAACGGCAAATTGTATGATACAGATAAGACCTTTCGGTTAGTGGGGGAAGCGTTTGTCAGCAACGTACCAGATAGGCCAAACACAGCTACGGCAGTGGATGATGGTCAGAGATGGTTCAGCATATGGTAGTGTTAGATTTGACACCCATGGTATGCACTGAAAGGGCCTTAGTAGTTGTCCTCTTCCGCTATAAACATTATCTCTTCGTCTCATAAACCGTAATCACGCTTAATATTATCTCCGCAACTACTCTGCCTCTGTTCCTAAACGTCCTCGGTGTGTTCGCTCGATTTCACCTTATTGTCATCGAATGTCGCGTCGACGAATTTGGATGAAGGCTCAGGGCGGGCATCGTGAGCATAACCACTATTGGAAGAAGAGTCAGCATTGATTCAGTGCGATGTTCACTTGATGTAGGAGCAACGTACAAGATGACATCCATCTGGTCCATGGTGAGACCCTTGGTCTCAGGCAAGAAGAAGTAACCCCACAATGTGGCGACGATCATCCACGAGGCAAAGAAAAACCAGGTTCCGTAGCCGAAAGAGCTGAAGATGTAAGGCATAGCCTTGGTGATGGCAAACTGAGTAGCCCTGAATGTGTGTCAGTGAAGCGTCGGGTTATTTAAGGGGAAGAGTAGCTGACGTACCAGACAACGAGGGCAGCGTAAGTACCGGTGAAATTACGGAGAGCACCAGGGAAAATTTCGGCACTGACGATCCAGGGGATACCGTTCAAGCCAAAAGACCAGCTATGGACGGCGTTAGTGGTGGTCCTCAGAAGAGTGTTTTCTTCAACGTGGTACTGACCAGATGGAGTAGATCATGATCATGCCAGTAGCCGCCTTACCACCGGCAGCGGTAGAGGCAGATAGTTCCTTGCCAGCGGCGATGATATCGGCAGGATGACCAATCTTCACATAAGCACCGACGATGAAGAGGCACAATGAGCAGATGAACGAGGAGACGATGGCGGGCCAACGTCTTCCAAGAAGGTCGATGAGGAAGATGAAGTAGATGATGGAGGCGATAGCTGTAGTTCTAGTCAGCAAAGGGTCACTGGTCTCGAAGGTAATTATAGCTCACCCTTGATCAGTCCGTAGATACCGGTGTATAGAGAAACGTCCGTGATGCCAATCGACGCGAAGAGTGTAGGCTAACAACAGAGTTAGTATATGAAACTTTCAAGGCCTCCTTATTGGGAGAACTGAATCTTACCGAATAGTAGTTGATGGCGGCAGCTCCGGAAAGGTTGTTAAGAGCGAAGGCACAGAAGACGAGGACAAGGCGGTTCCACATGCCCTTGCGGCCCAACATGTTGGCGACGCCGCGCAGGTATGCCCATTGTCCGGTGCCGTACTGAGATGAAACGGCCTTCTCTTCATCGAGCTTTTTCTGGAATTGATCGAGTTCTTCTTGCATGTCTGTATACATCCTTGCATTAGTCCTTTTTCTTTCTACGGCAAAGTATAATGAATCAAGGTGGGAGAGTGCTTACACTGATGGTCGATCGGCAGTCCTCTTAGACCTTCAAGAACCTTGTGAGCACGTTCCGTCTTGTTCTTACGAAGGAGCCAGAGCGGACTCTCGTGGATGAAGAAGACTCCGGCGAAGAGGATGCCGGCGGGAACGAGTTGGAATGCCATCGGTATTCTCCAGCTGACAGGCAGGTTCGGGTCGATGGTTTGCGTGATGCCGTACTAATTGAACGATCAGGGCATGCTCTTTAAGATTTCCAAACGTATTCAAGGAGAAGGCAACTCACATTAATCCAGAAACCAATGACACTCCCGATCTGGTATGCGACTTCGAAGAGACCGGTAAGGATACCGCGGATGGAAGGAATCGACAATTCTCCGATGTAGGACGGGACCGTAGCTGTGATACCACCGCATCCTATGCCAGTAAGGGCGCGACCCGCGTCTGTGCAAAGAGTCTTAGCGGGAGTCCTCTTGAAATTCTAGTAGGCGAGGAGTTGACTTACAGATGAATGACAACTGATTTGTAGCGGCAGTCATCAGGATTGCGCCAACAAGGAAGATCACAACATTAGCCTGGAGAGTCCACTTTCTACCCAAGCGCTCGGTAACTAGCTCAAGTTAGTGTGCTGGAGATAACTCCTTTTCGGATGTCGTACTGAAGAAGCAAAGCACTGCGCCGCCCAAGGCTCCAGCCTGAAATGCTGATGTGATGTTACTCGAGATATTATTCGAGTTTCCAGTGTTGATACCAAAGTCTCTCTTGAAACTGTTGCGGGCAATGGTTGTTCCGATGAACGCCGAGTCGTAACCAAAACTACCAAAGATCAGTTGCTGGTCGTAGCCATACTAGCTATCTGCAGTATCGCGACCTACAGGAAGGATCCCATTGCAATGATTGCGGCTTCGATGTAGAGCTTCCAGTTGTACACCTCCTTCGGCGTCGGCCGATCCTCAACAGCCTTGAAGCCACCCATGATTGTGATGAAACCGTGCGTCTGATGAGAACTATTCGGTAGAGCTCGAGCGGCGGGGCTGTTTGCAATGATCGCTCTATCTGTTCGATGACACGCGCACACACTATAGTCACATTTATCAAACTCCCGGCTGTCAAAGAGTATTTATCCTGCCCTTCTTTACCACCACGTCGGATGGCGCATCCCCACGGGGTACCTGGTGGAGAAACATGGAGGATTTAGGAGCTGCTCATTCGCGCCACCGTCTCTGCCTGGACATTGGGGTGTGTGGGAAGATGGGGGAATGCTTGCTAGTTTGACTCGCGCTGGTGCGCCCTGCGCCAGGAGAATTCATGGGTACGCTCCTCGGAAGTCGTCCGTGGGACGATGTCATGAACGGATTTCTTATCCGATCAAGTGGATCTAACTCTTCACGCTAGAGAGCAAGCAGGAAAAGTCTTTGGTTCAAGTAGCAATTGTTAGCGCCAGCCGCCGCTTTCTGCTGTGATTTCCCATCTGGCAGTACTGTTGCCAGAGACTCTAGTGAAGCTGTCAGGTGGTCTTGCCGACATTCGATCAGGAACTGTTTATGCCGGCCCCACCGCTTTTGGCTGACGATGGTTCCATGGTTGCGCGCCATGGCTTCCGACATGCGAGCCGAGAAGCGACCCGACGCAAACTACCGGTTGAGAACCCACCCCGCACGTGGGAATGCGATGTGTATTAATGAAAGAACCGAGTTGTCGGGCCCAAGGAGAATGAGGGTGATCTCGCAAGTTGTCTAAAGCGATATGAGGACCGAGGCCAGTTGAGGGTGCGCCGGCTTACCTAATCAACGCGAACTGGAAGCGACGCATGATTCTCCTTGAATAGGAGCCGATTGGGCGACGAGTTCGTCAAGAACTTACTGTGTAGTGTTTCCATGAAGCAATACAACCACGCTCGACTCACGGGGTTGCTATAGCTAGAGAGGTGGCTTTGGGAAGATTACTATGCTAAGGCGGGGTTTAGATCCAGTTATGGATAGTTGACTTGCATCAACATCGCTTCGAACTTCATTTAGAGTTGCGCATGGCCACGTTGCGGTGTTGCAGCCTGTGCACTATGAAAAGGCCCGAAGTTGCTCTTCATACCCTACGCTGCGACCAAGTCTGGCGAAGTTGGAGGCCCACCTCAAGCACATCACCACCGGATGCACAAAAGTCTTGCGGGGGTTCCTTGAATATCCGGGGAAGAAGGGCCGGTTACAGAATTCTCAACGTCCAAGTCCCCGGCTTCCTCTAGTAGCTCTTCCTTATGAGGCAATATAACATAATGTACGCATGGATCTGTGATTGGATGAGTCACGATCAAGAAACTGGCAATGAGTCATAGCTTAGATACAGGCACTTGTGGAATTTTGGAACGATTTCTCAGTGTTGAACCATCTTTGTTTAAGACCAGACCAATGATGCCGGCTTCTACATATTATATATACAACTAAGGTGTTGAAGTGTTTGTACACTAGGGTATTAGGAGGTAGGTGCGTCTTTGTGCGCTAATTAAGTATGGGCAACGCTCAAAAGGTCCTCCATTAATTCCAGATCCAGCTGACAAACCGTATAGGGCCAGTCTCTTGCTTTTCAGGCTCTTCGGGATAGGCGTCGGCCTGCTCAAAAGCATCATGAAGTGGGATGTTTTCAAGAACGACACCCTTGGTCTTCTTAAAGAATTTCCAGAACAGGAAAGCACCAGCAACCAGAGGAATATCCCTGCAAGATGGTCAGCAAACTCGATCCTCGTCTAAGATTTGAAAGTAGAGGATAGACTAACAGATAAGACGAGACGAAGCCACTGGCGTCCCAGTTGCCCTTGGTGAAGACTTCGAAGCCACTGGTCAAGAGAATGACGATACACAAGACCAAGGCGACGTAAGAGCTGTACACTAAAACCCCATCTTTGTCAGCAAGTTTCCATCAGGTAATTCAAGACATTTGAACTTACGGGTCCACGAGTTGTTCCACGGCAACCTGCTGAACTCGATACCCTGCTTCTTCATCGCTGTCTTAAGACGGATATGGTTCAAGAGAATGGCCGACCACGACACCAAAACACCAGCCGCAGTCAGGTCAACCAGCCACCAGAAGACAGTCAATGCGCCGTTGGACAAGCTCATGAAGCTGAGGAACATGAAAGCGGTGAACAGCAGGACGCAAACGTAAGGTGTACCCCAGGCGGTTGTACGGAGGAAGATCTTCGGGGCTTGTCCCTTGAGTGCAAGACCGAAAAGAACACGGGTGCCGGCGAGGAGACTCTGGTTAGAGGCTGACCAGGCGGAGGTGATGACGACGGCATTCACTACGCTTGGGATGGCAGGAATTCCGGCAGCAGAGGCGGCGATGACAAAGGGACTCTGAGCAGCGGTACCATAGGCGTCGTCGAGGCGGGGATCGTTGCTGGAGACGAGCATACCGACGACCAGAACCGCGAGCATGTAGAAGAGCACGATACGCGCAAAGACACGCTTGCAAGCGCGGGGGATGGCGCGGCGGGGGTTCTGAGTTTCGGCAGCGGCCATGGCGAGGGACTCGACGCCGGCGAAGGAGAAGACGGCGCTGGTCATGACACCCCAGTAACCCAGAAACTTGCCCCAGTCGCCGGTCGCGATGTGCTCCACGAAGGGGCCGGGGCTCTGCCAGTACCTGAACCCGATGCGGGGGGTGCCGGGAACGCCGCCGAGGTCGATGACGAGACCGAGGATGATGAGGAAGATGACCAGGAGGATCTTGAGCAAGGCGAAGACGAACTCGACCTCTCCGAAGACGCGCACGAAGGCGATACCGACGACGAACGTCAAGATGATGAAGATGACGATGAAGACGGAGGGGTTCAGGTCTGTCCAGAACTCAAAGAGTACGCAAATGGCCGTGATCTCAGAGGGAATGGACAAAATGTTGCCGTAAACCAGATTCCATCCGATCGCGAATCCCCAGGCCGGATCGACAAGAAACTCGGCATGGCGGACGAATGAACCGGTGACGGGGAGGAGCGCCGAAACTTCTCCGAGAGCAAACTGCACGGCACAAACAATCAGACCGACGGTCGCATAGCCAAGCAATGCGCCAAGAGGGCCGCCGGTCTGGATAGCGCCGCCGAGACCAAGGAAAAGACCGGTGCCGATGGCGCCCGCGATACCCAACATTGACAAGTGGCGCTGCTCCAAGCCGCGCTTCAGGTCGCGGTCCTCGGTGGTGGTGACAAAATCGCCGTCGTGGTCGTCGTGAGGCTCAAACGGGCCGCGCCGAGAGGCCTCGGCGGCCTCGACGTCGTCGGACGTGATCCAGGCGTGGCGGGTGACATCGGTGATGCCAGGCGACTTGGCGCCGGGGAATTGGATGGTGTCGGTACTCGTCGCTTTTGCCATGATTCCCCCTTTGTCCTCAACTCGTGCACCTTGTGCTTCCTTCACCGAGGTCGGGGTCGGAGAGAAGGTGAGGGAAATAAAGCTGACGACGAGCGATAAGAAAGAACCGCGATTGATGAAAACCCCGTTTGCCCTCCTCTCGCAAACTCGGTGAGATTACCTAATGTAATCGTCTGAACCTGTAGGGTAACACACGAGACAAGAGAGTTCGATGCTGAGGTATCAAACGACGAGATTGATAACCAATTTTTCACCTCATTGGAATGCTGGACAACCGTTGAATGCAGCACTGACGCCTAGATCATGCTGATATGGGCCATGGCTCGCACAAAGAATCGCGAAAGGGGTTCGGATGGACAATCGACGGACGGGGGGAGGGAATCGAAGAGATTTTGTCGTCTTATCGCGAACTCGATTTGGGAAGGTGAGATTTCTCATTCGATGATGCCATTGCGCTAAGCGGGTCCTGATCCACATGCACTGCGAGCACGTTACGTTACTGGTGGCGTACGCGTTATCTTTCTCGCAGACCGAGGCTCTCGAGGTTAACTCGCCCGTTCAATCTTTCGACAAATGACTCGCGTTATCAATCTCGTGGGAAATACATACAAGTAGATTCAGCAGCCGTGCCTCACCTTGCAAATGGTTGTCGTTCTACCCGTACTTGTGAGTCGAATGACAGAACTGGGGTTGCTATGTGCCACATGCAATACACGATGTTCATAAGGTAATGTACGTAGGATCGATACCTTACCAGGTTATATCGGTGAGGCCTCGGCCTGAGCTAGACCATTGCATCTAGGCCTACCCTCGTTCTCCATCATTCTTGGTTTTCGAAATCTGTTAGAAAAAAGTGTTCTGTTCCTTAAGGTTGACAACATGTTATGATAAAGCTAGCTCATGGGTTATTAGTCAAGGGCGAGTTTACATACCTATCAGGTCAAGTCGACAGAAAATCCTAACACGCCAGCCGCCGCAACTCAACATGCGCCAAGTGTTCATGTTGGCCAGGCTGCATCAGCTGCAGGCTGCGCGCCGCACCACATCATAAGCCCAGGGTCGACAGAAGCATATGCAGTCAGCCTCTTCCCCGCGCAATACCTACTCTTGCTTTGATACTCTCTTGCTCATTACACTGCAGACAGGAGCGTCCGTTCGTGCCTACTGGGGCTCGCCAGGCACCTTCAATCTTAGCGTACAACCCGACGTCCGTTATTCGATCAAACGGATTGAGCCGCCATCCCCAGATGCCTCGATAACGCGTACTCAATCTTGACCCGTTCCATCAGTCGATATGTCTGATCCATCACTATATACGATCGGCTGGATCTGTGCCATCGTTCCTGAGTTCGTCGCAGCCCGGCTCTTCCTCGACGAGGTCCACGAAGAGCTCAGATCGTAGTCCAAGAACGACAATAACTCGTACCAGCTCGGACGCATGGGCAAGCATAACGTCGCAATCGCAGCCCTTCCTCATGGCGAATACGGGGAAAGCTCGGCGGCAGTTGTCGCTCGGGATCTGATCCGCACATTCGAGAACATACGAGTCGGGCTGCTGGTTGGCATCGGCGGCGGAGCCCCAAGTCCAGAGAAAGATATCCGTCTGGGCGATGTTGTCGTCAGTTCTCCGACTGGTGGGTACGACGGTGTGCTCCAGTACGATTTTGGCAAGTCTATGGTGGATGGCAAACTCGAAATGACAGGATTCCTGAATCAGCCGCCAATTGCTTTCAGGACCGCTCTCAACGTTCTTATTGCCGATATCGAAATCGAAGGCAACTGGCTTGAGAACGACATCGAGAAGGCTCTCAAAACTGAGCATCTCAGACAGAAATACGGCCGGCCAAGTTCCGATTTCGACAAACTCTTTCGTAGTGACATCTCTTACAACCCAAACAAAACCATGGCCCATTACACCACCAGCGATTTTGTGGAACGCCAGGAACGGTCTCCAGATTCGACTCTCGTCATCCATCACGGATTGATCGCATCGGCGAATCAGGTGATGAAAGATGCACAAAAGCGGGATATACTAGCAAAGGACAAAAATGTGCTCTGTTTTGAGATGGAGGCTGCTGGGTTGATGAACCATTTTCCTTGCCTGGTGATCAGAGGTATCTGCGATTACTCGGACTCTCATAAAAACAAGAAATGGTAAGGCTACGCTGCCATGACCGCGGCAGCCTTCGCAAAAGCTTTGGTATGTCGCATTCCCTACCAGAGCCTTGCGAGCGAGCAGTCTATAGCAGAGGGGCTTTCCATGCGTAAGTAGGGCCCCAAAGTCACATGACTTCTTATTTATTATAGTTTGATTGTTCTAATCGACAGTATTCGGTCAAGTCCATCGGGGCAGAAGTCAACGCGATCAAAGATTCTATCGATCACGACACCCTTGGTAGGTTGCGGATGGCGAAATGCGCCGAACTTGACAGCTACCAGAACCAACATGAACCAAGATGTCATCCAAGTACTAGAGCCAATATCTTACACGGTATTGAGCGCTGGGCTCATGGACCTAGCAAACAGCGGGTCTACTGGCTTAGCGGAATGGCTGGCACTGGAAAGTCGATCATAGCTCGGACGGTTGCCCATGGACTTCGCGAAACAAACCTCCTTGGCGCTACGTTCTTTTTCAAGAGAGGGGAGCGGGATCGCAGCAGCGCGTCTTTCCTCTTCAGCACGCTAGCCAAGCAATTAGTACGACAACGACCCGAGTTGAGTCCTTATGTTGTAAAGGCAATCAAGACGACGGACGACATCTTTTCCAAATGTTTGGAAGAGCAATTCTCCAAGCTCATCCTTGGCCCGCTCATAGAGACGAGCTCAAAAGCAGGAGGTTTCAAGAACCTGATACTTATTGTGGAAGCTTTGGATGAGTGTTCCGATGAGAAAGATGTTGAAGCTCTGCTACATTTGCTGTTCAAGGTTGTGGATTCAGACGTGTATGCTCTGAAGCTTTTCATCACAAGCAGGCCAGAGATGGCAATCCGCGATGCATTCGATTTCATCAACTCGGAGCTACATGTGCACCATCAGCTACAGGATACACCGGGTGATATCATCTCCCGAGATATTACGGTGTATCTTGAATATCAACTGACAGAGATCAGAGTTTGGTGGAACAAACGATGCAGCAAAATTCCCACCGAACAACTAGCAGTAGATTGGCCTGAGAACGAGAAAATAAGTTTACTTGTCAAAATAGCGATACCACTGTTCTTGTTTGCAGCAATAGCTTGTCGCTTCATCAGAGACGATGTCTTTGGCAGCCCGGAGGAGCAACTTCTGAAGCTCATTCAGGTCGCTAAAGAAGGTAGTGTCCAGGACAAACTTGGAGAGACATATCGACCGGTATTGAGACAATTCCAAGGCAAGAGGACGGAAAAAGAATAACCGCTACTTTTGAAACGGTTCAGAAAAGTCATTGGTACAATCATCCTTCTCGAACAACCCTTGACAATCGGCTCCATTGCCAGCTTGCTAGGCTTACAAATTGGGGAGGTCATCGGCATATTGAATCCTTTCAAGTCAGTCCTTATCTTTCCGGAAGAGCAAGAGAAAGAGGTGAAATTTTTCCATCCATCGTTTCGCGACTTTCTACTCAGTTCAGGGGCCGAAGAGTTCCTGATCAATTCCAAGGAAACGCATTGGCAGATTGCGATTGCATGTCTGGATCCACTCTCGAAATCATTGCGCTACAACATTGGTAACCTCAAACCGGCAGATCGACGAATTACGATTGCAAACGACGTTTTGGAAACACAGCTGCCGCCGCATGTACAATATGCTTGCCTATTTTGGTTTTATCACCTAGACCAAGCAGGCAAAACTCTGGAGGATGACGACATTGTTCACAGATTTCTTCAAGATCGATTCCTGCATTGGATCGAAGCTCTGAGTATTCTCGGAGAAGCGAATCGTGGTATTCAAATGCCAGAGATTCTTATTCCCTTAGTCAAGGTAAGCTTGCTTAAAACCTTGGGTGTAGTAGGTTGAGCACTTCATTGTGCTTTTCTAACAAGGCCCCAAGTCACCGGAAAATCGGCTTCACAATTCCTGGTGGATTCGGAAACGTTTGTTTCAAAACATATTTCCGTTCTTCTCGAATTTCCTCTTCAACTCTACTGGTCGGCGTTGGTATTCTCACCCACGACAAGTTCCGTCAGAAACGCTTTTGCCGAAAGCGTTCCAGCCTGTATCACTTTCCAACATCCACGAAAGTCAACATAGACACCCCTAGTTTAGAATGCAGGCCTCGGGGGTCATTGTGAGAACTACAAGTCCGTCGCTATTTCTCCAGACTCCAGATTTGTTGCGCTCGGAGAGTCCAACGGCAGCATACTCATTTGGTCGCTCTCTACGGGTGTCTCAGTGACCAAGATACATATGAGACAATATCGCTCTGCTGGTTCAAACGTCCCAGTCACATTTTTCAAAGACTCCAAACGGATTGCATCGGCATATCAGGGCCATGTGTATGTCTTCCTGGCTGAAACTGGCGAATGCCTCCAATCATCCATACTTGGCTCCGAGCAGTCCAAAAGTCGCAACGACGTGGGACAAGTCGACGTTTCCCAAGATTCGGAGAAAATTGCAATTTCTTGCTCTCATTGGATTTATGAGCATACTGCTGCGATATGGACAATTTCTACGCGAAATTATCTGGAGCTACTGCCGGTGCACCCATACAACTATCCCGATGACTCAGACTTGAGGGCGATGGATGTCTTCTATGAAGACAAGAGTGACATGCTCGCAAAGTCTCGGTCAAAACCAAAAGGTGGTTCATTCATATGTTTCTCCCCGAACTCCCAATTCGTAGCTACTTCGTCCGACCTTGGAGGTGTCGATCTTTGGGAAGTGTCAACAGGTCACTACATTCGCACTTTCCCTACGAATCGGCCACTGATAGGCCCGCTTGCGTTCGTGTCGGGCACCAGTCTTTTGGTCATTAGGGAGGCTGAGGGAGTGCGCACCTTAGACATAGATACTGGTTGTTGGACATCTCAGGTGCCAGGCGGAGGAAACACTCTCGGTGCCGTGGCCATTTCTCACGATGCTAAGTTCCTTGCACATGACAACACCGTTGATAGAGATACCATATCAATTTCGTTGTTCGACACTGGCGAACATTACAAATCCCTAGATTTGACGAGTATCTTTGACGCCGAATCACTCAGGTCAACTTCTCGGGCAGCGGCTTTCTCGCCAGACGGGAAGTATCTCATCGTTACCAAAGGCGACGGGGTCGCTATTTGGTCACTGTCCATGATTCAGCGGTCCAGGTCAGTTATCAGAGAAACAGATCCCTCAATCAAGCCACAATTCTTGCCGACTAAAAGCTGTTTCATTCATCGGAGTGCTTCCCAAGAGGCGGCACGGATTGTTTCGATGGACGAGGGGTTGAACTCCCGCGAAGTAAAAATATGGTCATCTGAAACCGGTCAGCTACTTCAGACAATCGTGAACGATGGAGATGTTTGGAAGTCTGGGGACGTCATCTTATCCCTTGACTCTAAGCATATATTCTTGCCTCGCAAGTGCGTCGTTCTCGACACCGAATGCAACAACGTCGTTCATGATGTAAAATCCTCGTATGATCTTACAACTCCCTATTTATGGGATGAAGAGACCTCTATCGTCTTCTCCGCCGATTTCAACTCTTTCGCCTTGGGCTCATTCAATAATTTCAGTCTATGGACAGTGGGCGGTGAGCCAAAATTTCGGGACTCAGCTTGTGGTGGGGACCTCATCGCGATTACAACCGATTGGAAATCTGCAGCTTACACGATTGAGACATCATCGTTTCCTGATGTGCATGGAGAGTCAGGGATCGCAAATTCCTCGGGCGTATCGAACAGCTCGAATGAAGTCAAGCTCGGTATCAGATGTTTGAGTATTGAAACGGGGGTACACGTCGACATGCCCGAGAAGGTGGACATTCTGAGTTTCCTTGCCATTTCATCAGACTCAGAATGGATAGCTTCGGTGCCATTCCGTGGCATGGAACTAACCCTTTGGTCGATTAGACAACGCCCCCAAAAGGCCATCTACAGTCTCGGAAGCCGCATTACTGCTATTGAGTTCTCGGCAAAGTCAGATCTGTTGGCATTGGCAGACAAAGCTCAAACTGTACGGATCTGGTCGGTCACCTCAGGGCAGTGTACACAGATCATTGATATGGGATATGGCCTCACCACCCTATCCTTCTCTCCCGACGATGTACACTTGAGGACACCTTTCGGGGATATTGCCATCGACAAGTGTACCGTTACAGTCGGAGTAGTCAATCTGACCTCAGGGGATGTGGAACTTGAAAATGCGTCTATTGTACAGCAAAATCCACGCTGGCAAGGCTATGGATTGGACGTAGGTGGTAAATGGGTCACTTGGAATGGCGTCAATATCATGTTGTTGCCAGCTGATATCGACCCTTCATCGAATTTGAAACTTCCTCGCTGGGATAATAACGAAAGACGACATCAAGTGGCCGCGGGCGACTTCGTTGTTTCATGGGTAGGTCCCACCGGCGAGTTCTACACCTTGGGGTTTTCCAGAGATATCAAGCCCTTTGAATAAGCCGTCCGTCCTGAAAACTATTCTTGATACTTTTCATGCAGCTAGTCAATTCTCAGTTTGGACTTTACCCTGTCTTCCTGTGTTGAAAATTATATGGCCTCAGAACAAACATAACGCAGCTTCTCATTCTAGTCTGTAGAACTGGTCACAGGGTAAATTGCAACTCATCTGCAGCTCGTACTACTCATTCCATCAGACTGAGCGTGCTACTCCACCCTTTCGCCTCAGTCCCAACCAGGCTTCTTTGATCATATCCCTTCAAGGACTCCCGAAGATAACCAAAAGTATTGAAGACCAAACGGATCTCAATATCCTGCTCTCCGGAACGCTTGATCCAGCTTCAACTCAAGAACCTGCCGCTGCGCCTGAATATTCGCCGTGATCCGCGCATTCTCCTCCTCTCCAGCTCTCTTCTTCTCAGCGGCATCACCCTCGTCGATGTCCTCCACCTCATCAGCCATCATATCATCAGCCTCCGGAGCTGACGCCAAAGCCCTGGGGGCCATCCGCATACTCGCCATCCTTGTCGAAGACAAGGTTGCGCCCGGCAGGAAGCCCGGAGCAACGTACTTCTTTGACTTCCCAGCCGAAGCAATCAAAGTAGACAGCACCGCGGCGCCAATGTCCAAGACATTGTCCGCCTTGAAGGTATCAGGGTCATTGAGGAGCTGCAGTCCAATCCCAAAGGCCACGGACAAAAGGGGCCCAGCCCCAGGAATAAACCCGAGACCGAGCTGAACCACGTGCGTGACCAGGTCTAGGATGAAAGAAGAGTACTTGTACGGACGCCAGCCAACTTCAACCCCAAACGTCGCGCTGATGACGTTGGCGAGATCAATTTCGCGATGGAAGCCCTCTGCAGCCAAATTATCGTTGGATCTCCAATTAAGCCCCGCGTACGCGACGAGGAACAGCGCATCGGTCTTGGTCTTTGCGTTGTAGACGCCGTACTCGGGATTGCGCACCTTGTGAGGGATAGTCAGGTATGTTACTAGGTCCGGGACCTTGAAGAGCCACGTCAGGCCCCGATCAAGGCCGAGACCTGCCTCACGGGTAGACGGGTAGGTCCTTGGCTCTCCTACGGTGTTGAAGCAGTTGATCGTCTCGCGGGCCTTGAAGTCAATGACGACGTATGTGCAATACTGCTTGTAAGCTTCGTCGGTCTGCTGGCAGACGGGGAAGTAAATTGCCCGGATCGGGATCGTGGCACTAGGGGTTGTCATAGTCAGCACCTCGCGCAATAACCGGCTGAGCGGGCAACACTTACTCAATCCATAGCCACTGCGTGTCTTTGTTGCGAATCTTGACGGGACGCAAGATGTACTTTCTCGGTCCACCCTTGTCGCGGTCACGCATCTCGTTCCAGTTCAGACTGTTTGGGTGGCTGGTGATGGCGAGCATGCTACCGGGATCCGTGGTCTTGCTCTCGCCGACAAAGAATCTGTCCCATTGTACGAAGCGGGTGTTGTAGAGGTTGGCATACCCGCCCTCAATTCGAGATCGCGGGTGTGTCGGCGCGACGTTTCCGCTGCCGACCCAGCCGTTCCACTAGATAGAATGGTTGAGCTAACTGCGGCTTCGAGCTGAAGTGTGAGGAGGAGGGCCATACCTGGTATTCTATGAGGACATGGCTGTAGAACTGCTCCGCGTTGTCTGCAGACCAGTTGTTTCCGTAATTCAGGGACGACCTGACGAAGAAGCATTCGCCTTCGGGAAAGTAGGAAGCCATTGGATTGAATGGTTAAGCAGAGAATCAATGAAAAAATGATGCGAGGACAACTTTGAGAGTCCGAAGGTTCTGGTCTTCGCGTGGGCAGCTTAAGTTGGGAACAACGGGAAAGGCAGTCAGAGGGCCAGAAGAAGAGAGTTTTTATGTTATCTTGCGACTTCAAGTTTGCTCTGGGCAATTTGGTGCAGTCTCACAATGTCTAATGCCACTCAGCTAAGTAGTACTCCGTACCTAGGGTATATTTTCGGCGACAGCTTTCGAGTGCACCCTGATACCACTGTGATGCCATGACGGGGGAAGTGAGAGGGTATCAATGATCGAGAGCAGAACTCGGTGAATGTCTCAATAGCTAGAAAACCGTGATCTTGAGACATGCAGTCGATAGACCCTATGAAGCTCAATTCGATAGGCTAGAAGTGTGACGATCAAAATGGGTTGCGTCGATCGCAACGGGACGAGCCGCCCGGAAAGTGTCACAACAAGGCGGGGTTCGCATAGGAACGTTTCCCACTGGGCGTGGCCTGCATCTATCGAGCTGTAGTGTTATGCAGTGTGCAAATCGGTTGTTATTTGTTTTGTCAGTCTTCACGGCCCGATACAGTTACCCCGACTTCATCCCGTATCCGCATCGGCGTAGCAGGATCACGTCGTCCCGCGTCAGACCGGTCCGATGAGTGCCCTAACAGCGTTGTACATGTCCGAATGAAGCCGTCCACATCATGCAGCGCTCCGGCCCATCATGCGGCCGCCGCTTGAGAATACGAGGAGTTAAGATTTGCCTTGCGATTTACCCCTCCGTGGGCAAGAGCATGCAGCATTGAGGAATGTATACGTAAACAGATACTTCTTCCTCTGGCCTAAAACCAGAAGAAAAGTCACTCATAGCAAGATGGGAGGTTCATATTAGAGGCGTGCAACGGCAGAGGGGTGAGTGAGGTACTGAAAGCCGCTACAGGTCACTGAAAGTGAAGATGATGGCACTAGCCAATCTCCATCCTTCAAGAAGTGGGATGTGATATTCATCTAGGAGCCATGCCATCCGGAACGCGCGACAGCGAAGCAATATTTAAGTACCTCAATCGATCCGTGATGTGCACCAAACTGGACGTCCTGCGAACGGACCTCTCTCTCTTTCTCTCAAAAGAGAGCATGCCTGGCCTGGAAGTTCAGCATAATTGACATCACAGAGCGGGCGGAGCCGACATCAGACGGCCTAGTTCAGTCGTGCATATGCCAAAGTTTGGCAAAACTTCGGATGGTTCGCAGATCACAAGCAACGACAAGCCCCCTGGCCGAGCACTGGGCAATTGCCACGGTCTACGCATCGGAAGCTCTCATGCAGCGATACCTCCGCCCGCAGACCACAACCTGAGCGATTTCAGTACTGCTGGCTGAGACTGACGTCATGTAGGGCGGAACTCTGGGACAATGGCAGGACTGATGGAGTCCCCCGCGATCACGAGCTTCCCATTCAACATGCCGAGAAGGTTGGTTTAACATGTTTGTATTATGCTGGGCTAGCCAGCATTACGGATGCCTGGTGACCATCTCTCGAAAGACAAGAATCCTCCCGTGGGTTGGTGGGCTGAAGCCTTACCAAACCCAGTATGCAAGTTACCTCCCCACAACCGGCCGCCTCCTCCAAGGCTATCAAACAGTAGAGTTGAACCTGGACAACTTGTGCCAAGGCTATGGCCTCAGCTCATTCGACCCTTCCAGTCGTTTACCGCGTTCCCCAAAGTTCAGGCTGCGGGTCCGAGTGACGTAAAACATCGGAAACCATAACGTCGTGACGTGTCCGACCCTTTCAGCGAAGAAAACCAACAGTATCGAAGATGCAGTGCCATGCTCGCAAATGTGGTTGACGAAACCAGGTCCTCGGGGGGCTTATGTACAATCCCCTCACCCGACGAGCAGAAGAAAGTTTCCAATCCGACATATCCCGAAACCCATAATAGTTGTTGACGAATTCTTTCATTCGTGTAAAAGTGCAGCTAAAGTGCCGTATTTGAATCCGAAGGGGTCCCTATCACGGGACGACCTGAGATGACTACCGGCGCTCTGGCTCGAAAGGGTTCTCGGCTCGCTGGTGAGGCTGGCGCTCGGCTTCGAAGGGGTTGTCGTTTCCGGGTTGGTTATTTTGGCCATGCGGCTGCCAGGCACGCGGGGGCTTGCCCATGGTCGGGTGATCGTAGACGTCGCCGTCGATCTCGAGGTCAATGTCGTCCTCCTTGCGCTCTTGCTTTTGTCTTCTCATGTGCAACACAGTTAAGACACCAAGGGTACCGCAGATGAGAACAGCACTGAAGAAAAACAGGCATGTTAGTCTTGGCTAAGCGATTGATGTTGAGGTAGGCCATGGAGCAGATGGGCGAGATGCGAATGCAAACAAGACTCGTAGGGAAGGTAGATAGGGCATAGTGCGGGATTGTTCGGATAGACCTACGCAGTAACGCCGATGGTGATACCGATAATCTTGGACGACTGGAAGGGCTTTTCGCAGCGAGAGCTGTTGTCGCCATCCGCACAGTCATCGCGCACAGCGAGGTAGCGCACAGCGCGGGCGACGGGTGCCAGAAGGCTCGAGGCGGTTGTTGAAGAACTCATGATGCGACAGTGGAGGGATCGGGTTATTGTGGATATGATGTAACGGCTCGAATGTGGGTTGGAATATCGTTTGTATGTATCCACGACTGGATTCCCTCGATTTCCGATAGAGTCGCAGAGTTCGTCACGTCGCTTCAAGTACAGTAGACTTGTCCCTTTCGTATTTAATTCCCTTACTTGAGCTGCCTGCGTCCTGTCGGGACTGTCGCAATGCTCGTCCTCGAATTCTTATCGTTCGGTTGCGGCGAGCGGGTTGCGGCTGGCTCGTCTGTAATGAGTGGATTCGCCCCTGTGTCGCTTCTGTGAAACCGGATTCGGAGCCCCTGGTATCGCTTTCTCTAGTTGGCAACGGTTTTTTATGCAAGGAGTGACTGTAGTGAAGAAGAGAGAAAACAGTTGCGAACAGAGACACCAAAAAAGTGGTCGATGCCAAGAGGAGATGCAGGACGGAAGGAAGGAACAAAAGAGTGACTGCCCGGAAGGTTTGCGTTTGTTGGAGAGGGAAAACAGGAAGGGGGCGGCGAGGAGGGAAAGAGCGCGAGATTGAGGCGGGCAGGGACGGGAAAGCAACCTGGAAGGAATGGAAGGAACGGATGGAATTTGGGAAGGGACCCGACACCATGAAAACACGGGGAAAGTGGAGGGAAGGAAGGTGAGGCAATCTGCCTTCCTACCTATTCAGGGGAGGGGCGGCCGTCTCAGGGTCCAGGGGGGAAAGAGGCAGGCACCACCGCACGTACGCCCGATGCAGGTACGACAAGAGCAGGCGCAAGAACAGGAAGGAAGGAACCCGTGGGCAGACATACACACACCTACAACCGTGGACAGGAAGGAGCCCGTAACCCCTCCTCCCTCATTCGACAACAACGTGCCTGCCTCAAATGTCTCTATTTTCAACCATTCCCTCCATACCATCCCCCATCAGGAACGCATTTGGTCCATCAGTTGATTTAGCGGCTGCGCATTCTGCATATTCTGCATTTGCGAGGAAAGACATGGTTCCAAACTGGGGGAAGAATGTGGCTGTGTCTCACTCAGCTTCGTTTTCAATGAGGCCGAGAGTGCCGGAATTGGCCGTCATGATTGGTTCATTGAACCCCCCCCCCCCAAAAGGCCTCCCCTTAAAACGGCCCTGAATAGGAACAAACACGAACCTGGGTCCCAATTAAAGGGTCGGCGGGATGGTCCTGCGATCCGAGTCAACCGAATACGGCCAATCGGCAGCCAACACGGGCGACCATACTGCCGCAGTCAGTCGCCTCAACTCTGGCTTTGCCTCCCTACAAACTGCATAACCCAAACACATTACTGATGACACTGCCAAAGAAGGGTCCGAGAGGGGCTTTTGAGTCTTTCGTGGGCCATCGTGGGCATCGCCAATTGATAGAGTGGGAGCCTCGGGATTAGAGTGGCTGCCAAAGAATTGGTCTTGCGGGGAAATGCTTGTCTCGTGTTTCACATTCCAAACTCCCTGTTCGCTGTGTCCGGTGAGAAATTGGCATGTCATCCCGTTCTTTCGAGGTCGGGTGACACTGTGGCAGACAGAACTGTTGCGTTGCGCGCGCGACGGCCCTCAAAATTTGATGGGTTTGGCAGCGTGAACTCTGTGAGGGCGTTCATCCCGCCATAATGTAGAAAACGCGGCATAACATTGATGACTGAGCACCCGGGCAATCAACAGCTTTCTATTAGAGTTCATGACGACAGCGACGTCAATTGACATTTTTCTTTACACCAGACGACAATGATGACTCTCAAGTTTTCTTTGCTACTTCTCAACCCGGAACCGCGGCACAATTTTAATCTCCCCTTCCACTCTGCTGTCCCCCTCACCGAGGCAGCGGCAGTGACTCAGCGACCGCCTACTAATAACCACATCTTGTGACATGCTTCAGACAACTCACCGCATGAATTGTAACGAGTTATCCCGGCGATAAGGCCGACGGGAAGAGCCAACCGACGCACCTTTCATTTCGCCTAATGAGCCTTGTGGTGCTCGAGCTTCCACTCACATCGCAAGCGTGACCGCCGACCAGAGGGACGGACGCACTGACCAGGAAAAGCAAGACAGACCATTGGAAGTTTGTTAATAATAGAACCCTGAGACAGTGCCCCCCGCCAGAGTTTTCTCCCCGTGTCCCTTTTTTCGGAATGCCCTCGCCTACTGCCGAGGTGCCGCTGGCGTTGGAAAATCCCCCGACTCAATTTATCTGTGGAGGTACCCTGACTTGTCGGAAGCCTTGCGGGATGCCGAATAATTGCGATCACCAGGACCGCAGACCCGGATACGAGCAACGACAGGCAGTCCGACGGCCACCTTACTTAAGTTACTTTTGCGTGATTATCGCTCCGCGTGATGTGAGGTTGGCCGATGCGACTGGAATTCATCTGCA